AATCATTGCAGAATAAGGCCAGGAACTTGCATTAAGAACGTATATGGGGTTCATTTTGATTCAAATATTTACAAAAATATATTTAGAAGACCTTCAGAATTTAAAACATTTAAATACGTTTCTTTTGAGAAGCAATTGCATTAAACACAGTAAGATCGGTTGTATTTGGATGTGTTGTTGTTGCTGTTGTTTTTATACCCATACATGCTTTTAATAATTTTTAGAACATATATCGTTGTTCTAGTGTTTTTTTCTTCATCGTCTTTATTTGATTTATGTATCTATGTACTTATGTCCAGTAGGTGGCGGAGATGCACCTCGAGTAAGTGTGCCAAACTTCATCAGTCTGGAAAATGTTATAAAGCCATTTCTAAAGCTTTGGGACTCCAGCGAACCACAGTGAGAGCCATTATTCACAAATGGCAAAAACATGGAACAGTGGAGAACCTTCCCAGGAGTTTCCGGCCGAGCAAAATTACCCCAAGAGCACAGCGACGACTCATCCAAGAGGTCACAAAAGACCCCACAACAACATCCAAAGAACTGCAGGCCTCACTTGCCTCAGTTAAGGTCAGTGTTCATGACTCCACCATAAGAAAGAGACGGGGCAAAACTGTCTGCATGGCAGAGTTCCAAGACGAAAATGATCCCCAAGACTTTTGTGGAAAATACTCTGTGGACTGACGAGACAAAAGTTTAACTTTTTGGAAGGTGTGTGTGTGTGTGTCCCATTACGTCTGGCGTAAAAGTAACACTGCATTTCAGAAAAAGAACATCATACCAACAGTAAAATATGGTGGTGGTAGTGTGATGGTCTGGGGCTGTTTTGCTGCTTCAGGACCTGGAAGACTTGCTGTGATAAATGGAACCATGAATTCTGCAGTTTACCAAAAAAATCCTGAAGGAGAATGTCTGGCCATCTGTTCGTGACCTCAAGCTGAAGCGAACTTGGGTTCTGCAGCAGGACAATGATCCAAAACACACCAGCAAGTCCACCTCTGAATGGCTGAAGAAAAACAAAATGAAGACTTTGGAGTGGCCTAGTCAAAGTCCTGACCTGAATTCTATTGAGATGCTGTGGCATGACCTTAAAAAGGCGGTTCATGCTCGAAAACCCTCCAGTGTGGCTGAATTACAACAATTCTGCATAGATGAGTGGACCAAAATTCCTCCACAGTGCTGTAACAGACTCATTGCAAGTTGATTGCAGTTGTTGCTGCTAAGGGTGGCCCAACCAGTTATTAGGTTTAGGGGGCAAACACTACTTTACACAGGGCCATGTAGTTTTGGCTTTTGTTTTCCCTTAATAATAATAAACCTTCATTTAAAAACTGCATGTTGTGTTATCTTTGACTAATATTTAAATTTGTTTGAGGATCTGAAACATTAAAGTGTGACAAACATGCAAGAAATCAGGAAGGGGGCCAACACTTTTTCACACCACTATATATATATAGTTGTTGTTTTTTTATTTGCATATCCTACTGTATTTCTTGTACATTTTGCTGAGATCAAACCGTATACCCATAATTGATTTCACAGCCTGTGAATCAGCAGTGACTTTGCTCTTTGATACTGTGATGCACTTGGGATGTAAGCCATACCTGGATAGCCAAAGATCATCCTGCATTTGCCACTATGAGGAGAAGGCTGATCTGTGAATGGTTAATAGGTTTATGTAGAGGTTTGATTGTTTATTGTCTCAGGGTACTGCAAGATGCAATACAATTAGTTTCTTCACTTTGTATGCATTCATTGCAATGTCATAGTTAACGGTGTATTTTGTAATTACAGAAAATTTTAAATTATTTAATATGATTATAAAATTATACATACTGATGTGTCATATATATATATACACTACATTTATACAGTCGTGGTCAGAATTATTGGCACCCTTGGTAAATATGATCAAAGAATCCATCACAATGAGAAAAACCAAAGAATATATTTCTGATGTGCAGCAAAAGATAATTGAGCTTCACAAATTAGAAAGTGACTTTAAGAAAAGAGCTAGAGCAGTGAAAATTCCCATTTCCACCATCAGGGCAATAATTAAGAATTTCCAATCAACAGAAAATGTTACAAATCTGCCTGGAAGAGGACGTGTCTATATCGTCCTAATGCACGGTGAGGATGAGTTTGAGTGACTAAAGACTCTCTGAGGATCACAGCTGGAGAATTGCAGAAAATAGTTGAGTCTCCGAGTAAGAAAACCTTAAAAAAAAAAGTCAAACCACGCCTACACTACATGTTGTTTGGGAGGGTTTCAAGAAAAAAAATCAAGAAAAGAAAATGCTCTCAACCAAAAACAATCCCCAGCATATTCTGTTGTCAGACACGACTTATAATGGGCCAGGTTTGGATCTTCCAACCGGACAATAATCCAAAAACAAACCTTAAAAACAACACAAAAATGGGTCACTGAGCACAAAACCAAGCTTCTGCTATGGCCATTCCAGTTCCCTGGCCTGAACCCTATAGAAAATGAGTGTGGTGAACTGAAGAGGAGAAGCACCATCATGGAGCTGGGAATCTGAAGTGTCTGGAGTGATTCTGGATGAAGGAATGGTCTCTGATCTCTTGTCAGGTGCTCTCTAACCTCATCAGGCATTATAGGAGAAAACTCAGAGCTGTTATTATGCCAAATGGAAGTTTCAAAAAGCATTGAATAAAAGGGTGCCGTTAATTGTATCCAATGTGTATTAGAGAAAAACATTTGTCATAATGATATTTCCCCCCATTTTAAATTCTTATTCTCCAATGAAAGGGTAGATTTATGTGATTTTTAAAAATAAAAGATCGAAATGATTAACAATGCAGATTTATTTTCACCAAATATCTCTCAGCACGTGTGTATATATATATATATATATATATATATATATATATATATATATATAAACTTGAAAGATTCATCTTGTGGAAAAGACTTGTGAAACCTTGATGAGCCAGTAATCTGAATCAGTAGACACATATGTTCAGGTGAGCATGATAATTTAATGGAGATAAACTTCAAAAGATCTGTACACAACTGTTAACCTACAAACGTCACCCTGACTTCATTAATATAATAGTTAACGTGAAATGCCAAATAGTCATAGCAAGAAGAGCTTTAACAAATCAGAATTTTAATGTCAAAAGCAATGAGTAATAGAGTGAGCCAATAGACAAATTATACCTTAGCAAATTAGAATGTTTTCACAACAGCCAGTGGCTAAGAACTTTATCACAGTATGTCCAGTAATCTCACACACTCAAAAAAAAAAAAGATTTTACATAACTTTACATGCCTTTGATTTGATCTTTTTTATCAAGAAAAAAGTCCACATGAAATTCCATTTGCAACCCTTTTGTTCTTTCATATTTCTGCAAGCACTTATTCATTGATAATTTATTAGATTGTCTATACCATAATGGAATCAGAAATGAATCTGATGACATTTTTTCTTTGTAATATGGGTGAATCATTACAGAATAGGGCCAAGAACTTGCGTTATGAAAGTCAATAGGGTCCATTTTGATTTAATGTTGACTTTAAATATTTACTGAATATTTTTATATTAAGATTCTATATCATCTATTTATATAGAAAATAAAGTCCTTTAGAATGTAAAACATTGAAATAACAGTTTCTTTTGAGAAGAAACTGCATTAAACACTTAATAAACAGTAAGATCAGTTGTATTTGGGTGTGTTGTTTTTTAAACCCATAGTGAAGGCCAGAATGAAAAAAGGCAGGTTGTTTTAAGAGAACAGCAACAAACCAATCAAAGCAATAATATGCTATCTAGTTTAGTTTTGGGCAATAAATGAACAGTAGTATGAATAAAAAGTTGTAATTCCTTGTAATATGTCTGTTGATCATGTCCAATGTGAGAATTGAGGTTGCTCAATCATCTTCTTTTAGTTCCTCCAAAACCTGCACCAGAAAACACCATAAATAGATCTAATTTCCAAAATACACATCTAATTGGCTTCTGATGGCCTACTCATGGCATTATACAGTACAGTGACATTATAGGAGAGAAATGTGCTTTGAAATAAACACAAAAGCACATCTGGAATCTGTAACTAAATTTGCTATAGATTACCCGAGGCGGTCCGTGTTCCTGAGCTTGTTTTTGGTGCTGGAGAAGGTTGGTTGGTGTAAGATGGTCCTGCGAAGCCCATGGGTGGCTGGCGTCTAATATCAACATAAAAGTCAGGTGAAGACTGAGCTACAAATTACTGCATTTAGATTTACATTAATGCTGTTAGCTTAACAGACCATTTCTTACCAAAAAGGCCAAAACTGTTATGATTACCAACAACATTTGCAAATAGTCACAATACCAATGCTGTGTATTTATTTGATGTGTGGTTAAGCGAGTTGTGCATACTGTAGTAGAGAGACTATGAATGATCAATAATGACAATTTATATTTATTTTGGGAAATATGGAGCACTTGAGAATATGATCACTTACTGGTCTTATGCAATGCATCTTATTTTTGTAACCACTGTGATCTTTTGACTTGACTGCCCTTCTAGTATTTTACATATCAGGGATATTTATATTTGACATCTTTTACATTATTTTGCTTCTTTTTGGACCTCAAATTGAAGTGTATGCCTTGTCAAAAAACGAAATAAAGGTTATAAAAAAAAGATGTAGCCTTGATACATACAAGTGCTTGCTATAAGTAAATTATGTGAGGATATGTTGCTTGCTTGCCTCTGATTCCCAAACAAATATCCCAGAATTCCACCTGTGCCCATTCCAGTCCAGAATCCACCCCCACCACGTCCACCAGTGTTTCCACCAGTGAAACCGGTCCAAGAACTCTGAGGTCTGGTGTACGCATCAGAAAAGCCGTACCCGGGCCTTGAGCTTGAGTGGTCTGCTGAGAGAACCCACAAAACAGGAAATATTACACACTCCCCATAAATAAATATGCAAATATTATGCACATTTGGTTACACTTAGACTTTCAATGTCATCACTTACCCCTCATGTTGTTCCTGTATTAGTTTCTTTATTCAGTGGAACACAAAAGAAGATATTTTGAAGAATGTTGGTAACCAAACAGTTTAGGTTCCCATTGACTTATACTTTTATTATTATATTTTTGACCATACAATGGGAGTCAATGGGAAGTGAAACTGGTTACCAACACTTTTCCAAATGTAATTTGTGTTCCACAGAAACAAGAAAGTCATACAGGTTTGGAATGACATGATTGTGAGTAACTTTCATTTCTGGGTAGCGGATCCCTTTACGTCTATAATAATAATAGAGAATGGAATCATATTGAAAATGACAGACAGATAGATTGATTGATTACCTGAGTAATAATCTGGTTTGAATCCAGGCGGCGGTGGCTCCATACCCTGGCTGTTATCCCATGTCCCGCCGTATCCCTGGGATCCATCTCCACTGTAACCTTGGTGGCCGTGAGTAGGACTGCACAGAAACATCTTGTATACAGCATATGCCACCAGCAAAAGGAAAGCTATCACTATAAGCCCACCCACTCCATCACCAGACGGGCCATTCTGGAAGGGATACTGGCCGTTAGACTGTTGAGAATGGCCTCCGCTCTGCTGCTGCTTATGATTGGAAAAGCCTTGGAAGAAGTTCGAGGCAAAGTCTGAGAAGCCCGACGAACCCCCTGAGCCGTGCGTGTGCTGCTGCCTCCCTTCTGCCGTGAGCTCCAGCATGTACTCCAGACCGCAGGAGCCTCTCAGCACATATGCGTCATTGGGACTGTTATAGCCTTCACAGGAGACCTCCACGCGCCCGAACCTGTACGCGTTGTCCATGTCAGCCTTGCATTCCCACTATAAGAAGAGAGAGAGTAATACTATGAATAATGTAGATACATATAGTATGCAAGAGGCAGTTTTGGAGTCTTACCTGTGTGTCTATGCCATCTGATCCTCTGTTGTAACACTGGACCACCTCAGGAACGAATGATCCACAGCCAGCTGATCCTCCGACACACTGCAGCTGTGGCACAGGACTGGAGCGCCGTGCAGTGGTGTAGCGGCCTCTGTGGAGCGTGAGCACCTGAACATCACGCAGTAACACAGCCTCTGTCGCAGAAAAAAAGATTTGATTAATATTTCTTCTTATCTGACCACACCCCCAAAACATTTGGTATCACACAAAAGCGTCGGATGACCTCTTTAAGAAACAGAGATTTTATAAGATATTTCATTTATATTATACTTAAATAAATATATATATTAATTATATTTCATATTTAATTTTCCTTCTGGTTCATATTATTTACTGCATATTTTATAGTCATTTTAATCAAATATATTATTTATATTATCATTTTGGCCACACACAACTTAAAAGAAGCACCAACTCTTCTTTTTAAGATACATTAATTATAAATGCATACATCTGATGTATGCAGATGATTTGGTGATTTTTTTTTGTCCATATAGTGCTGGTCTTCAACAGTTACTGAGGATTTGTTCTCGATATGGTTCAGAGTTTGATATTAAATATAATGGCAAAAAGAGTAATATTATGATTGTTAGGAGTAGGGGGGACAGGAAACTGACATTTCCTGACTTCTCTCTGTCTGGGAGTGTCCTTAAGGTATGTAATGAGGTTAAATACTTAGGGCATTATATAACTGATGACCTGTCTGATGATAGGGATATTTACAGACAGTGTTGTACGCTGTATGCCCAGGCCAATATGTTGATTCGCAAATTTGGCATGTGCTCAGGATCTGTGAAGACTACACTTTTTAAAGCATACTGTACCCCTATGTATACTGGCCATTTGTGGCGGCATTACAGAAAGAGCAGCATGCAGAGACTTAATGTAGCTTATAATGATGGTATGCGATTGCTGCTTAAGGTGCCAAGATGGAGCAGCGCAAGCCAAATGTTTGTCAGTGCTGGGGTGCCAACCTGCGCTGCTGTGTTGCGCAATCTCATGTACAGATGTATGTGTAGGTTATCAGAATCTGTAAACAGTATAATTTTAACACTGACAAACTTGCCACTAAGTTCAGTCAGGCTTTTTTCAAATATGTGGCATCATTGGCATTTTCGTACACATGTAAATATGTGATATTGTGGTTTTTGTCCTTGTGTGTGTTTTTGTATGGACCGAGTGTGTCCTTAATAAAAAAAAGTTTGTTATAAACATATACATAATTTATATTGTTCCCCTTTATTTATATTATTATTATTATAAAGAAAATATCAAAACACATATTTATATGATCATATTGGCCCCAAAACCACATAAAAGCACCAACTGTATATTACAAAACGTTACATATTCAATGTATATTAGTATATATATATATAAAATATCACGATTCATATTTTCTTATAAAATACTCATAAAACATCATCACGTTTATATTGTCATATCTGTCACACACCCAAATTAATTCTGTATTACATAAAAGTAATATTAGTCAAATATTATCACAGCAGGTCACAACTTCCACTAAAGCTGCACATTTAGAGTGAAACTTCAATGCAAATACTTATTTTACTCAGACTGACGGCCAGTCTGTCTTCTCTGATATGCTTGACTTGATTATGATTGTTTATTTCGCCGTAAGGTTCACATAAAAGATATTTTACCATCATTCCAGCAGCTGATGTGAGGTATAATCAGCAGCAAGAAGTGCAGAAACAAAACTCCGGAAACAAAGCTCCTCATTTCTCCCGTGATGATGGAAAATCTCTTCTTTATGCTTGAGTACTGAACTGGGTTGAAATGCCTCACTGTAAGCCAGTACGTGGCTTTCACCAATAAGTGAAAATAAAGTCTGATGTAAACAAATGTAACTGACAGTTCAGCAGCGCAACATCACTCTTCTCCCGCTACTTCCGCTTCCGTGTTTCTGGTGAAGTGCAGACGAGCCTCTCATTATCGCCATCTACTGACAGGTGCGTTGAATTACATTACGTTGACCTCCAGTAATAAATAGAGGTGGTTTTTAGAATGCCAAATTGTTGAAAATGTAAGTTTCTATTCTAGTAGTAACTTTAGTATCCTGGCTAAAAGTTTTTTTTACCGTTTATCCATTCGAGTTAACATTATCTGTTTCAAATCACACCTGTTAGCAGTGAACTCGTCTATCTTTTTAACTACCTATTTATTTCATAAGATGAAAATAACCATTGGAGAAGACTATGTACCTTTATTTAGCCTACAGTTTTTACAATCAGTTTTGCACTAATAACAGAACTTTCATGTCATTTTTCGAAACTCTAGACACATAATTCACAACCGATGATCAAAATGCACATTCATTGAACTAAAATCAAAATGACACAACTTAACATCAAAGTATTCCTATTTCAAAATGCAACTCTCGCATTACATCTGAGTTGAGTGTCTATTCAATTCATTACGATGATCTAACTATCAATTGATACAACTGCTCAAAATGCTACATAACTGTTGCAATGCTCTTGAAGCATAGTTTATGGAAAATTATGAACAATATTAAATGTTTAGATAATGAAAGCGAATCAACTGAGGGCTGAGTATGTTCAGGTATGATCAGTTTCAAGATGACTGTTGTTGGGAGAGAGAGAAAAAGTATTTGTTTTTCCAACAATACGCAAAAGTCTTTTTAGAGGGTGATAAAGCTGGAAGCCGAAGCATTGTTCAATACTGAAGCCACATTTTCCAAACTGTTCACACATTCAGCGATACAGAAGTCTATGCGGACCAAACTGTGAACCATTTTTTTATTGCTTTCAGACTAAATGCATGCAGTGATCACATTTTTCAAAATCCACAAAGACTTTTGTCGTTCATACTCTAAAATCTGCGAAACATTATACATTTTCAGCACATTTTTCAAAATGCTAACAAACTGCTTTCAAAACTGATAAAAGCTCATTCAAATCAAATCTGTCCATTTCTGCGGGAATTATATTGAAATAGAAAATCTTAGCAGAATATTTGGTAACACTTTACTTGAAGGGGTGTGCATAAGACTGACATGGCACCTTCATAATCATGACATGACACATGTCATGAATATGAAGGAGGTTTTATGTATGTTTATGACAACTGTCATTAAGTGTCATTCGCTCAGTTATGTAATTTTTAATGCAAAGATGACATTGTTTGAGATGTCTTTGTTATGGGCTATGGTTAGGGGTAAGGGTAGGGGTAGGGTTAGGTCAAATAATGTCATATTTGCATTAAAAATGACATAACTGAGCGAATGACACTTAATGACAGTTGTCATAAACATGCATAAAAAACCCTTCATATTCATGTGTCATGTCATGATTATGAAGGTGTCATGTCAGTCTTATGCACACCCCTTCAAGTAAAGTGTAACCGAATATTTATTAAGAAATTGAATAATAATTATTCCAAACGCAACTAACTGCAATTTCAGCTGAAAGCCAAGCCAGATGTCCTATTTTTAGTCTTCTTCTCGTTCTTTCTTTCTTTCTTTTTTGGTTATATTTTGATAAATGGATGGCTTCGGAATGATTTTGTTTGGAAACATAGATCAAGGAAGACATTGTTTTTTTAGGGGGAAAAAAGTGGCAGAGACAGTGCTGAACATCCATCCATCTATTCCATACATTTTCCAAAGTACTTGTCCTATGTAGGGTCTTGAGGAGGCTGGAGCCTTTCCTGGGTCATAGGCAGGAAAACCCTCTGGACAGATGGCCACTCCATCACACACTGTAAAAAATGATTGTGATTTTAACAGTAAAAGACTGTAAAAATGCTACAGTAAAAACATGTTAACTGGTTAACAATAAGTTTTCATATTATATACGGTGAATAAATGCTATTACATTTAATGTAATTTCACAGTAAAATACTGTTAAAAATACGTTTTTTGGAAGTGAAAAAGAAAAAGTCATTGTATAAGTTACAGTAAAAAACCACAAACTGACACTCCCAGAATTCCCTGCATGACACTTCATATTTGATGTTTTTTGTTGAAATAACATGTTTCTTCTTACTTTTTTCTTATCAGTTGTGTACATTAGGGTTCAATCTTACATCTAATGTTGTTAAATTAATGTGTATTGCACTATTTCAGTATCAAGTGCGTCACCAGGATGGGGTTTAGTGTTTGTGTGAACGACACTGTGCACCTTCTATAAATGAGTATTGCCCTCCTCAGCTCGTAGAAAAGCTGTTTGTGATGAGCATCATGTGACGTTCTCATCACCACCAGTTTTTGGTGGTTATCAGTTCATTACAATGGTTCAAAACAGATATTAACACTTAAAATATGTTGGTTTATTAACATTACATCAGTTAATGAAATACGGTATTTTAATGTGAATTTAAGTTAAGTCTGTAAAACCTAAAATGTTGCTACCATATTTTTTACGGTGAAGTTCTGGCAACCACAGCTGCCAGTATTTTACCGTAAATATCACAGATTTGTTTTTTACAGTGCAGGGATGACACTCACTTACAGTCTCCAGGTCACCTGTCCTGTATGTCTCTGAATTGTGGAAGAAACCCAGAGGAAACCAACGTCAACACAGAGAGAACATATAAACTCCACACAGAAAGGCCTCCTGGAGCAGCAATCCAATACTGCACATACTTCATTATACTAGACGTGCTGTTGATGTTTTTTTGTTTTTTTTCACAAGCAAGTTTTGTAAATGTTGATGGGTTTTTGTTTTTTTGGTATGTAAAGATATGATCCATTTCACAAAGGTTATTTGGGGGGGGGGGGGGGGGGGGGGGTGCTTTTCTCATTGATTCTTTGTGCTGTAATACAGTCAGTAAAATGTAAAGATGTTATTCTTATCCTATAGTGAAATACTTATGACAAATCATTCAAACTTCAAAGATAAAAGTTCATAGTTATAGTGTTACAGTGTTTTTTAGACCAGTGTGTTATGAATGAAATGTATATTTTCTGAATGAGAATTGTTGCCAGTGTTATGGCACAAGCTTATTTTGAGACGTATATGAAGTGTTTTGTTGGTCTGAGTGAGTTTTGGAGGTGAGATATACAGTTTGGTCCAGATTCATGTTGGTAATGCAGACTGTGTGAACAGGTTTGAAAATGTGACTTCAGTATTGAACAACGCTTGTTAGCAATTGAAAAAAAAATCTGTAATGATTCCAGTGTCTGTACTTTTCTCTCTAGTCTATTACAATGATGTATGAATGTGTAGAACCGTAATGAAGCTGCATCATGTGTTTTGAACAACTATATTTAATGATTGTACTAAAACTACACAGTGAAACTATGGGTATCTTGTGTGTGGGTGATCTAAAGTAATGTTCCTATGATATTTCATAATAAATCTTCTTTAAAGATATGAACGCAATATGCAAAGTTTTGAACATTCGACAGTCTGTGTTACAAATAATGACTGTTTTGAGTTTTGTGTCTAGTTTTGAAAAATGACATCAAGGTTCTGAAAAAATTGGTGACAAAATGATTGTAAAAAAAACCTAATATCATATAATATAAAATGATGTAATATCTGCTGTGATAATTATTGTTTAATCTCAAAACAAATGTTTGTGGAGGAAAAAGTGCTCAACCAAGTCAAGACAATATTAGCTATCCAAATATGAACTAGTTAAAATTTCAACTGAGCGTATGAAGTGGAATTACAATTTATCATATACAAGTATATGACTTTACATCAATTATGATTGTTTTAATGGCTTTGCAAGCTTAAACTTGCTTTGTATTCATAGATTTACATCAAAGACTGTATCATCATCTCAAAGTGCTCAAATTTAAGTGATATTTTTCCTTTTCTTCTTCTAATGTAATATGAATAATATATCATCACATACTGTATTTGTTATCATATTGGCCACACCCCTTGTATTACATACAATTTTTTAGTTTTCACATCACAAAACAAAGTTTAGGCACTTAAGCTCAAAATGAAAATTTTGAAGAATCCCCCCCCCCCGACGCAAAAAAAAAATCATAAATACTTGAAGTAATACTGCTTTAGTGTAAGTTTAGAAATAATTTTATTTTGTCCATCACTCATGTAAATACACAGAAATTAATAATGGATAGACACATATGTATTTAACTATACATAGGAATACCGGTCAAATGCAAAGCTGTTGGGTGCTCCATTCCTTTAGTACTTTCACTTCCAAATTTCATTCCATCATCCGAAATGATTTAAGACAGGAATGAGAGAAACAGGCAGGGATGAATGATCGGTAAAGAGTTCTGCAAAGTGCACTGAACTCTCTCACACATCTACTCACATTAACACCAGCTGGTAGCTCTGATAACAGTAGAGTCTGTTAAAGTTCATGAACACTGCAGTCTAGACAGATGATGATGCTGAAGATGATGATGACGAAGACACCCTTTAGCTCAAGAAATGACAGCTTTTGCTGTAACTGATTGTAAAAAGAGAGCGATTACTGGTTCTCTATAAGCAGAGAATGTATTGTACTATTCATTCATTCATTGGATTTCGCCAAACGAATCACACCAAATTAAACCTCAGTCCCAGAGAATAAACATATAAAATATCGCCTTTACAAATAACAATGAATGTGGTTAATTATATTCAATAGTACAGCAAGCACTCCAAATCTTTAGAGTTGGATACTGATTATTTGCAGTTCTACACTTTAAAACAATATTGGGCCTAAATTAAAGATTTATCTATTGACATTGCATAGAAAAATTCCATCCATTTGGATTACAGAGTTTTAACAAACTAATGAATGTAATGCATATTTGCCAATTATGCATGAACGAAAAGAAACAGGTTAGATTTCTGTACTCAAAAAAATCATTGCATAGTTATTATTAAATGTTTGCTTCTATTTGATTTTAAATAACAACTTTTAAAATGCATTTACTCAAATACAATTTACTCAGGCATGGGCATGGTTAAAATATGATAGCTATAGAACAAGCAATATTCAATTAGTTAAAATACATGAGATTGAAACAAATTGGATTTTTAAATATATAAACCTGGTTATTCTGTCTTCGTACTATTACAGAAATCTTACCCGTTTCATTTACGTATGAATGACAAATATGCATCGGTGTTATTTTAGTACCATTCTGATAGTAGTAGTGTTTTTAATATTTTGAATTAGTTATTTTTGTATTTTCCATTTTCATTTTATTTTTAATATTTAATAATAAAAAGTCTATATAGGTTTTATTACTTTTAATTAAATTATTTTAGTACATCAAGTTAAATTAAATGAAAATGAGAAATGTTTCTTATTTTATTTCAGTTAACGTTTATTTTATTTCAAGTAACAAAAATATTTTTGTCGTTGCCGTTTTAGTTAACCTATAATAACTCTCATATGCATTACATGAAGTTTATTAGTTTGTTAAAACTTTGTCATCCAAATGGACAGAAGTGTTATATACAATTCGACAACATAAATCTTAAATTTTGTCCTAAATATTTTGTTAAGAATAGACTTCTGACTACGTCTACAAGTCTATTTAATAAAATATATGATATGCTCCAAATGAAAATGCTCAAGTAACAATCAGAAAGGACCAGCGTTCAGGCAAAGCAAATATAAAGCTTTGTTTCGTCCTTCATTTCAAGTTATTGTGAGCTTTAAAGCACAGTCCCAGGATCGTGATCGATTTATTATTGCATATTTTCACCAAAGGTCTTTTCCTGAGTCTGTGGACACTCCCCATAGATGTCCACCTCCTCATTGGATGTTGTGTCTCCTTGTTCTTAAAGTCTGTCCTCTTCATACAGCGTATTAAAAATGGCTAAAATCTACAGTACATCAAGTCTACATGTACTGCTTTTGAGAGTGCAAACAGAATATTGCACTACTTTCCCATAACAAAACTACTGCTTGGAAAGCCCTGCTACTCAGACTTCGGTGGATATAAAGATGCAGTGCCACAGCGCAGCTGCGGTCAAGCTCTCATGTTATCATTCGGATGCCCAATAAATAAGGGTCTGTTCCCAGAAAAAGAACAAGGGCGTGTACGATAAAGGAATCAAATAGAGACCGGGCAGATGATGATCTTGTCCTCCAGCATTACGCTGACCACCAAGAACACAAAGTAGAGCAGGAACATGAAGAAACCCAGCAGCTTGCTCATCTTCCACTTGCACACAGCGATGGAGATAATGACGAAGAGGAGCATGAGGAAGAGCAGAACGATGGCGCAGAACAGGCCGTTGCTGCTCACGGTCACTGGAGTCAGGTCGTTCAGGATTGAAAAGACCAACCATGGAAAAGGCAGGCTGGGGACAGTGAACAGACACAGGGAGAGGTTTCAAAGGGTTGTTTTATAGTAGGGAGTCTATCACATGATGATTCTAGTGTTACTGATGAAGATCTCTCACCCCACAGTGATGTCAAATATGTTGGAACCGACTGAGCTGGAGACGGCCATGTCGCCGAGACCCTTCCGGGCAACAATAACACTGGTGATGAGATCAGGAATGGAGGTACCAGCCGCTAGAATAGTCAAACCCATGATCTCTTCTGTGATTCCAATAGTCTCACCAACCTGTGGGAGAAATTTGTACTGGGTGTTTGAAACTTTCCATGAAAATACTATGATAAAACGGTGTTAAATTGGCATTAGCCTCAGCTGTCGTCAAAGATCTGTTTGAAGGAGATCTAACATTCATTTATAATGATTTTACTCTAGTAGCACTACAGGTATCTTTGTAAGGGCAATTTAACATGTAAAAGACAGGCAGTAAAATAATTTTGCCTCCTAAGATCACAAAATCACATTGTTTTGGCCAAACCACATCTACAGTTTGTGGGAAATAGAAATCCCAGAGAGCACTGCAATGAGCTAGGTGAAAAAATCCATTCAGGATGACAGAGGATGGATGAAGAGTGAGAAATGTTATTTATAAATGTTTATGTATATACTTTTATAGTATTTATGAATATAGCTTTTATTTTTATGTTTTCAATTTTCATTTTAAGTTTTAGTAATTATAATTTTTTTATTTCAACTTGTTTTTTATTTCAGTTTCAGTTTATTATTCCAGTAATTTATTAAGGCAACAGTCCCAATTACATTTTATTTTTAGGTTTTTCAGTTAATATTTCTTATTATTATTTCAGCTTTATTTCAATGAACTAAAAACATTTCAAAGCAGTTTTTAGTTTTACGTAACAATAACAACATTGTACTGAAAAAATTGTAAACCTAAAAATGGTTTACACTTAACTGGTTTTATTAAAGTATATACAAAATATATTGGCTGTACCAACCTACATACAATTTCTTAACTCATACCAACAAAATTAATTTTAAATTAATTTAGAACACAAATGTACAGGTTAAATCAAGTAAGTTAATAAGGTTAGTAAGGTTAGTAAAGTTAGTAATGTTACCATAAGGCCTTTTGTGTACATAGAAAAAGTCTTAGATCTTTGAGTTCAGCTCATGAAAAATGGGGGCAAAAACAAAAGTGTTGCGTTTATAATTTTGTTTAGTGTATATTATCTATTTGACTGCACTGACACCATCAGATAAGAACAAAACTTGAAGTGAATTTAACTGGATGATCAAGCTAATGTCTTCATTAGAGCTGCTTTATAGCTAAATAAAATGTGTTTATTTTGCATTAAATGGATGTAAAAAAAAACTCAAACGTACATCTCTGCGGACATCTGGCAGTGACAGCCACAATGGAAAGACGATGGGGAAGATGAAGAGGTATGTTGCTTGCTTCCTCAGTGTGTCTGGCCAAGCCAAGCTCAGAGGCTGGTCTTCATCTTCCTCCTCCTTCTCAGCCTTTGAGATTAGAACCACAAAAACATGATGTCATTCAGTTGCCTGTGATATTGTAACATTAGAATATTAGGGGTGGTTCAATGTTTTTTTTCTAGGCTTGATTGTGTTTATGTGGTGCAGTCTAACATGTGTTAATGCTTCGTTTTTTAAATAAAAATTTTTTTTTCACATAATTTACCTTTATTCCACACCGCTCTGTCCCTTCTCTATGTGTCATGTCATGATTATGTAGGTGTCATGTCATGATTATGAAGGTGTCATGTCAGTCTTATGCCCACCCCTTCAAGTATAGTGTAACCGAAACTTGTGAATCCATTAGAATTGTTAGAAGACAGAATCACGATTCATATATGAACAGATTTTTACATGCACCTCTAGTTTTCTCTTCCTCTTCTCTAAAGCAGCGCAGCATGGCCTCGCCCCATTTGCTGCCTTTTCCCGAGGACGGGGTTTATCTGGGTTTGTTACGTAACGAACCCCGGGAAGTAAATTCTTGTAGTCCCTACCAGCCGTTTTTGGCATTAAACTGCCAGAATTTTAAAAGACAATATCTCTGTTTGCATTGAACTTTCAGCTTCGTAACTTTGCAGATATTGTTTATGCTCAAACAGCAACATTACACACTAACCAACGTTAAAAAAGTGAAATCGCAATCAACCACCCTTTTAAGGATTCCAATATATTTGAATATATCAAGATGATCTAGTCGTGTTGCGACATCACCTCAGCTCCAGCACTGCCATTCATAGGTGGAGTGACTTCAACCTCCACATTAGTGCTGTTGGGAAGATTCTTGTCAACTAGAAAATGAAACAACAGAAATCTGAAATGAAATGTTATTTCATTATTATAATATGTAATGATGTGATTTAAGTGCTGAAATTCCCATAAACCCCAACACTAACCGCAGATTTTAGAGGCTTATGATAGAAGTAAATATTTTGTTTATGTGACTGACTATATTATTAAAGTTACCAGGAAATCAAAATCAAAATGTTGCTGATGTTACAGTGGACTCATTGCAAATTTCCAAAGAAAAAAGTCTTTATAATCTTCTTTTAGAGGTTCCTAATCAGAAAATGCATTCCTTTTCAGCTGATGTCACCAAATCCCTTTACTTTTCATATACATTTGCAAACAGAGTTGGCATGGAAAGGCCACTTTTCAGTGGATAAAAATTCCAACCCTACAGCGATTATGCTGATTTTACTCAGAAATATGTCACATTACTGAAGTAAAATGGGTAAGGAGTGCTGTTACACAAAATATTAAACATACCAACACCATTTGCCTCATCTTGTCCCTTTTTTCTTGCAATCTTGTGTAGAATTGATGCCTTCTCCTTGAACCTCCCTAGAACATATGACATATTTTATTTATAAGACTTAACGAATCTATGATGTGAGTCAATGTGTGTGCATTTGTACATTTGGAGTGTATGTATTTGCATATTACCGCCGCTGAGAGGATCGAGAGTGTGAATCATTAGCTGGAAGATGCTGTTTCTCATGAGAGTGTTGTGGAGGGATGCGGAGCTTCCTCCTCTCTGGAGGCGGGGTTTAGCCTATAGGGAAAAGAAGAAGAAATGCCTTTAGATATCTAAATGTACTGTTATGTATGTTGTGCTGATAGGGTCCTGATGATGATGATGCTGCTTACCGAGAGTTTATTCTCATCATCTCCCGCACTGATAACCTTGAGAAAAAAAAAGAGAGAAACAGAACTTAGTGAATTCCATGAAAAGTAAAATCAAGGCCAATGTTTTTTTTAATTCCTGAAAAAAAAAGTTTGGGGTATTCTTAAGATAACCCCACACCCTAAAAGGCATTTTCAGAGAAACTCAACAAGTACAGGAAATGATAAAACCATTAGCCATATATTAGCACCATATATACTTTTGTTTTCACAGAAACAACACACCTGACTTCAGAGCAAAAATCAGCCGTTTAATTCCAGTGATGATTTGTTTTATCACCACAAAAGCAGCAACAGCAGCTCCAGCATTATCAGGAGTTTATTAAAAAAGTATTTTATTAAAAATGTTAACAGCCATGGTTTTCTGCTCACCATATTAAGTTTCATTGTGGTATATATACAAACATACATACAGTACACACTACACACACACACACACTATTAGTTTGGAGTTGGATTATGTTTTGAAATAAATCTCTTATGCCTACCAAGGCTGCAATTATTTGATCAAAACAGTAGTACTGTGAAACTGTTTTTTTCTATTTTAATATATTTTAGAAATAAGTTGTTCGGGTGATGTTAAGCTGAATTTTCAGCAGTCCTTACACCAGTCCTCAGTGTCACGTGGTACTTCAGAAATCACTGATTTGGTGCTCTAAAAATCTCTTATATTCAATTTTGAAAACAGTTGTGCTACATAACATTTTGGGGGAAACCAAGACACTTTTTTCTGGATTCTTTAATGAATAGAAAGTTGAATCAGAAATCATTTGTACCATTATAAATGTCCTCAATTGTGAATCAATTTAATGTGTCTTTGCTTTTTGTATGTGTTTGTACAGACAGACAGAAAATTTAAGGGGGTCTGAATACTTTCCGTACCCACTGTACATGATAGTAAGAGATATACCATAATTAAACATAATAATTATTCATTTTTAGCATAAAAATATTTAAAATCACCATGGGGTGTGCTGAATATTTTACCTAATTTATACTTCTGCATTAACAAAGATTTGACTCAATTTAACTCCTATAAATACAGGAAATAGTATGAAAGAATCAGTTGTTAAATCTGATTATATTTTTAATATAGAAAACCAATTTCATAAATTGAATGGGAATGCCTCATTACATAAACAAGACAAAAAAAATAACAATAAATAAATAAATGGAGTGTAACAAAGATAAGAGGACATTTAAGGCCAGCTTTAAAAAGATCAGATCAATCTATCCCCAACATGCAGAACCAAGAACATGTTAAGCTGTTACACAGCACAGCTAAAAACAGCTAAGACTTATACCTGACCCTAAATAGCACTTCTTGAGTATTGTATAGGAAGGCCAATCATAGAATTTTAACCCATCTTTCAAATACCATCTATAACAGTTTCTAAGAAACCATTGAAACTAAAAGATGAAAATTACAAAATCTGCTCTCAAAATCTCATACAAATGTGTCTTCAAGCACTGCACAGTAGCTTTTGTCTGATCACTGTATGTTAGATTTTAAACAAAACTGCACTGCATTTAATTCCATATCCAATAAATAACCAGTAAATCAACCATATCATTCTAAACTAGGGGAAGTCGTGGCCTAATGGTTAGAGAGTCGGACTCGTAACCCAAAAGTTGCGGGTTCGAGTCTCGTACTGGCAGGGATTGTAGGTGGGGGGAGTGAATGTACAGCGCTTTCTCCCACCTTCAATACCACGACTGAGGTGCCCTTGAGCAAGGTACCGAAACCCCAACTGCTCCCTGGGCGCTGCAGCAAAAAATGGCTGCCCACTGCCCTGGGTGTGTGTTCACGGTGTGTGTGTGATCACTGCTGTGTGTGTGCACTTTGGATGGGATAAATGCAGAGCACTAATACCTAGAATGGGTCCCCATACTTGGCCACATGTCACTTCACTTCACTGTATAATATAAGTATGTATATGTATAAGTGCTCATGAGTTTACATACCCCTTGCAAATGTGCAAGAATGTGCATGTGCCAAATTGCATGTTATTTTTTATTTAGTACAGTCCTGGATAAGCTATTTCACATAACAGATGTTTGTTTACACATACTCCACAAGACAAAATAATAACTGAATTTATAAAAATGACCCCATTCAAAAGTTTACTGAAAAAAGTTTGTCCTGAGCAGTTCAACTGCTGCCTGCTGTTCTTCAGAAAAATCCTCCAGCTCCTGCACATTCTTTGGTTTTCCAGCATCTTCTGCATATTTGAACCCTTTCCAACATTGACTGTATGATTTTGAAATCCATAACTATGCATAACTATTACAAAAGGTGAAAACGTACTGATACTCAAGAAGACCACACAATGGATTAAGAGACGGGGGGTGTAACATTTTTTAATTGGATGATCAGGGTAAATTGTACTTATTGTGTCTTCTGGGAAACATGTATTTATGTAGCTTCTGATGTCCAGAACTAAATGAAAAAATATGACTGTTAAACAAAATGAGAAGAATTTACACATTATCATCCTGTTCAAAAGTTTTTAATGTATTGTGTAGCCTTCTTGAGCATCAGTAAATGTTTCCACCTTTTGTAATAGTTGTGTACGAGTCCCTCAGTTGTTCTTAGTGTGAAGATATGGATCTCAAAATCATACAGTCACTTTTGGAAAGGGTTCAAATACGCAGAAGATGCTGGAAAACCAAAGAATGTGTAGGAGCTGGAGGATTTTTCTGAAGAACAGCAGGCAGTTGAACTGCTCAGGACCAACAAGGAACTCGTGAACAAATATTGCAAAATATAAAAACATGGATCAGGAAATCGTGGATCAGGAAATGACACATATTATTAAGATTCAAGGGTATGTAAACTTTTGAATGGGGTCATTTTTTAAATATTCAGTTATTTTGTCTTGTGGAGTAAATCTTATATGTAAACATCTGTTATGTGAAATAGCTTATTCAGGACAGTACTAAATAAAAAATAACATGCAATTTTCATGATCCCTCTTATTTTGTTTCAATTATTAACATTTTGCACATTCTGCAAGGGGTATGTAAATTTATGAGCACAACTGTACATATACAGTATATATAGTAACTATATATATATATATATATATATATATATATATATATAAGCATATAATACATTTACATTTAGTCATTTAGCAGACACTTTTATATTAATTATATATTTTAAATCAGGAAAGTTATGACTTTAAAGTATAATTAATGTCTAGTATTATATTATATTAAGTAATATTTGTATATGTAAATTATATTTCTATTTAATAAACATTTTATAACAAAAAAACAAGTAATTTATTTTAAGAAAACAATGTAATTTATTTATTTTGTGGAACTATTTCATAGTCTTCAGGTACAGAAGAGAGAATACATTATTGCAAGTTCAAATTGTTTATAGCTCTGCTCCTAAATGGTTCAAATAAGCTCTTTTTCAACAAGCCCTTTCCCAGTGAGGTGGCAGCACCAGCAGTGTCCTCATGAGAAAATCAGTTGGCTCAGCAGAGACACACGAGCAGCCTTAATTAAGCCTAATCAGCCCAGTAGAGCATAGAGGGCTTAAGCACGTTTCCTTCGTGATTAGCAGGCCCTGCCATTTGCTCCCTGTTCACGTTCCTCCCTTCCCAGCTTTGGTCTTTCTGCAGGTGGAAGATAAGCTCTGGCCTATGGAAATACAGCTGAGCTCTGTGTGCTCAGCGAGCTTTAAAGCAGAGGTCAGCCAACCGGAGACCAGCTCGCTGAAGCTGTCTGACATTACCAGACGTCCTGCTGCTAGGCCAACAATCTTAAACTTCTGAGTTAAGAATGAAAACTATACTACATTATCCTCCAGACAAATGGATGACCACATTATTCTAACCCACCTTCCAATTACTGTCCAATTAAAGTAGGATGGATGCTTATTGCCTGTTGGTGTTTTTATCAGTCATAAGCTGGAAAAAAATTTGCACCGAATTTGATCACAGCGATATCATTTCGTTATTGTTACAGTTATAGTTGTGGTGTGGACTTCGCTATTCTCTTACAGTTTTTAAAACTTGATAGTTACAGAAATTATAAAGATGAAAAAATGGTGAAACAATTTTCACTCAGAAATTGCTAGTACATTTCATAATTACAAAGAAATGGCATTGAAGTAACATTGAAACAAATGTGACATTTTTTTAATAAGACTGAAATAGAATTTTCTCGCAAAAGATTCTGCAATATTTACAACTTCGAAAATTTGTTTTGTTATATTTTACTACCATTGGCATTTTAGTTTATATTTTCATATAAATTCCTTACATGGCAATCATGTGAACATAATTTTAAACATAACATTAAGCACCAAACAGTCAAAAATCTGACTGAGGCCTAAGACTACACGTAGGACCTTAAAATCAGATTCTCAAAGCTGAATCCCGAATAAAGAAGTGCAAACACTTTAAAACAAATTAAAAGAAATAAGAAGAATTGTTTGAAATTATGTCATTTCATTTTTACAGCATTTCTTTGACAACGTAGCACAGGTATTGCAGGGACTGTCTCATTCAGAACATCCCACTCATTCCTTCTTTTTCCACACATTTTGAGTCAATCTGATCAATCTATAGTCGCAGGAAAATTATGATTCTGATGGACTGATTGCACCATACCACTTTGGCAAGCGACTAGAGATGCAAAACTTTGGCTGACGACTACAGATGCAAAAGGTAGGAGACATGAAAAATAAAAGTCCATTTCATGCTTTTAAGATCCGTCCAGAAAAGATTTTACTAGTAAAAGGGATTTCACTAGTAAAACATCTACCATAATATAATGAAATATTAGCTATATACAGTATATGTCGCATACAGAATAGCTTACTCAAGGGCACACTGGTGATTTGAACATGGAGCTGATCATTTCATTTATCAGAAGAGATCTTTAAGCGCTATCTGAGACCAAATACTGAAGCAGAAAAATATTAGCTGCAAGATTAGGACTGACCTTGTTTTGGCCTTCTGTTGTCTGGAGTTTGGTGAGCTACCATATGTGTTGCATTAAAAAAAAAATCTTACAGATGTTTCACGAGGCGTGCACACACTGCTTAAATTCTAACCTGTCGACATCATGTGAAAATGTTAGAAAATAAACAACTGACCTTGTCAATCCTTCAATTTCAAGCTTTATGCATGACTACAAATTGATTGTGTGTGTGTGGGGGGGGGGAACTAGAGAAATATTTTCCAGTACTGAAAATCCAAAACATATTTCACAAATATTATATAAATTTGTAATCGGATTTAACATGCAGTTTACACAAGACACAAATACTGAAAAGGAAGTCATGGGGATCTTACTAGAGAGCAGCTAATGAACTTTGCCGAGTAACAGTTTATCAATTAACTGGACCAATTAGCATGCTGGACCCACGCAATGCCACCGTTACAGTATTATCTATAGAGTGGAAAGAACATATATATAGGAACGTCTACATTTTAAGCAGTGATGCAAAAGTAAAAATTTTCAGCTTGGATATTGCTTTTCTTTAAATCGTTAAAAAAGTATACTTAAGATTGACAAATTAATATACCAAACATACTAAACTTTTCCTGTAGCAGCAGGAACTCAATCAGTCTACTGTATATCAATCAGTATAACATTAGATAAACAGACTGCCTGTTACATCACAAAAGCATCAGAGCACATAAGACGCCTTAACTAATGAAGATAATTCAGTATGATGTAACAGAGAGACTGAAGATGCTGACTCATCTTTGCTTTTAAAAGATCCAATTGAACATCAAGCTCAATTTTGCAACAACTGTATTTGTACACCATCTGTGACAGACAGTTTAAAAAAAAAAGTCGTAAATCCTGTGGACTTCATACCAGGTTTAGTCATATGGGTCATCTGGGAACTTGAATTGCCTCTACAGTGTCTCTTAGCAAGAGTCCGGTAGTTAACCAGAGAAGGCAGGCCGGCACACGAAAGAGGCTTAAGGTGACAGGTAACCAATTTTAGAGACAGAGGCATTTAAGGATTCGTAAATTAACTCACACAACACATGATGCCAGGTTCTCACACTCTCCCTTCTTTCCTTTTCATATAGAGTTAAATATGGTTTGAATTACACCAGCAAAGATTTGCCTAACTACAGAGTCTACTAAGGCACTGAGAATATTATACAGTACTACAAAATGCAAAATAGGTTTGATAATTCAATTACTTTTCACTGGGATGCCACAATACAGAAGAAAATATACGTTGCTAGTTTCATTATATTGCAACTTTAAGTACACTTTGGCTCATCTTCCAAATACTTCTAGCAATCAGGCTGGATTTTCTTCAGATTTTCCTCAGTTTATAATATTAAAGGTGCACTTATTATTTTATTTTTACTTATTTACTAGCTTTACACCTAAAGAAGTAAAAATTATACTTAAAAATAATAATAATAATGTACAGAGATAAAGTACATTATATAGAGATAAAGACCACAATAGAATTTTTTTTATGGTGAATTGGTAACACTTTAAAGACCAATTCTCACTATTACCTAGCATGCACATAACTAGCATGTTGGCTGTTTATTAGGACTTATAAAGTACATATTAATCTCTTATTCTGCATGACCATATTTTAGATCTCTTAATCCGATTCCCATATCTAAATTTAACAAGTACCTTACTAACTATAAAAAAATCAGCATATTAGATGAACGGAATTATACTTATATTATGTATTTATATTACAGATGAACAGCTGCTTTATCACTTAAATGTCATATCCAAATTTGCTGTAAATTTTCTATGAATATCATTTAAAATATCCATAGCAGGCAGCACTGTGTAATTCATTCATTCAAAAATGCCTCCCAGGAAATAGCGTAATGTAGGACAGATAGTGAAAAGGGTTGTTGTAATGTACAATATTCTCTCAAAAGTCTTCTTCAGAAGGCAGGTCACTCCCTTAAGCACTAAGAGTCTTTTTATTTTGGTTGGCGTCACCCCTTCTAAGCAGTTGATTTGGGATTACAAAGGATTTCAGGTTAGGAGTAATAAACCACAAGCAGAAATGCAGATATCCACCATGTTTCTGAATACTACATTAAACACTAAGTGACAAAGGTCTACCTGTGAAAATAAATCTGACAATGTCATTCAAAAACCTGAAGAGCTTCCCACAATACTCCATATCTGAGCACAGTTTAAAAAAAAGAACAGGACACCTGTCTATACTTAGAGGTACTAAAAGGATCACATCTTATTGGATTAGCCCGAGCTTCGGCTAAAGGAGCAAAGAGCACATGTACCAACTGCCCTACACCAGCCCCTATCTCTACCACTATTAATTTTAATTTTAGAAGCCTTAAACCAAAAGTCTCTAAACCAAAGCCATTTTCCATTCCAATCTCTCAGAGCAGTGTTGTCTGCTCTGTCCAGGTGACACCTGATATAATGCCTAATCCGGCTCAGAGAGGTGATAAAACTGTCTGTGTTCTTTTCATTGGGAACACTGAATCTCAGCCAACAGTCGGGTTCCTCTCCCACTGCTGTTGCAATCAGCTTCCTTGTTCTGTTAAGTGCTCAAGATCCACAGAAATTCCCAAAATGCACCATAAAAACCAGTGAGCATCGGCTGCTCATTATATTCCCATAGCAGTGATGTTGTCATGTTCTAAGTCATCAGAGCATGAGCACAAATGTACATGTGCTTTATTTTCAGTCCCCGTAGTCTAATTGCTTAATGGGCATGAATTGCAGTTGTTAGAAGATTAAAAAAAAAAAGTCAACTTTTTTTTTTGTTAATGTTTGAATGCAATTATTTATGCACATAATGTTTTGCAGAGTATATCATTTCCCCGAGAAAGCCATCAGAGCATTGAAATATAATTTTTTTTTTTTTTATCACCATGACCTTTTAGGGGCTCCGTACAAGTACATATTTAATAAGTGGTCGTATAACAATATATCTTTTGAATTTTAATAATTAAATAGTTTTTTTCCCGAAATAAATATTTTTACTGGGGAAAAATAGACGAAATGCTGGTTAAGACTCACAAATTTAAACACAACTCTGTGAAGTGGTATTAACAAAGCTAATTGTGCCAGGAAAAGACAAAAATAGATATCTATGCCTCTTGAGATGTCTGGCTGATAAAACACAGGTTTCGGCAAAAGGGGAAAGTAAAAGATTTTAACAACTTTCTTCCTTAACTCCATCTTGCCTCATCTCTACTACTTTTGCTCTCTCTTTCTGCTGTCCATCTCTGTCTATACAGCAGTGGTTCTGGTCTTACTCAGCTGATTGTGTGCTCTCAGAGCAGTGTTGTCTGCTCTGTCCAGGTGACACCTGATATAATGCCTAATCCGGCTCAGAGAGGTGATAAAACTGTCTGTGTTCTTTTCATTGGGAACACTGAATCTCAGCCAACAGTCGGGTTCCTCTCCCACTGCTGTTGCAATCAGCTTCCTTGTTCTGTTAAGTGCTCAAGATCCACAGAAATTCCCAAAATGCACCATAAAAACCAGTGAGCATCGTCTGCTCATTATATTCCCATAGCAGTGATGTTGTCATGTTCTAAGTCATCAGAGCATGAGCACAAATGTACATGTGCTTTATTTTCAGTCCCCGTAGTCTAATTGCTTAATGGGCATGAATTGCAGTTGTTAGAAGATTTTTAAAAAAAAGTCAACTTTTTTTTTTGTTAATGTTTGAATGCAATTATTTATGCACATAATGTTTTGCAGAGTATATCATTTCCCCGAGAAAGCCATCAGAGCATTGAAATATAATTTTTTCTCCAATCTCATTTTTTTTATCACCATGACCTTTTAGGGGCTCCGTACAAGTACATATTTAATAAGTGGTACTATACTTTTTTACACAATGGCATATTTTAAGAACTAAGGTGTTGTTAAATACTAGTTATTTCATTAGCACTTGGGTTCATCTTCATAAAAAAAACAAGTGGAAGGCCCCTCACCGTCCAAAAAAATATTTCAAGTGCCAAATATTAGTAAATAATATAAGATGAACAGAACTATAACTATACTCTATCTGTCTGTCTATCTATAAAATATTATTAACAGAAACTGTCATGATGATTTCATTTCACATATACATTTTTTGTTTCTTTAGCATTTCAAATAATAAGTTAATAAAAAATAATTAAATTACATTTAATAGTAAAATAACTAATAATGTTGATTATATCATATTAATTATGTTATAAAAGTCATCCTACGTCACCGTTGGAAATTTGCTGAGGACCCTCAAGTGGGCCCCGGCACCCTTGTTGAGAACCACTGTGATATACTGATTCCTAACAGGGGTGGAAGGAGACATGAAGGAGAATGCCACCTTTGACCTGAGAAGCAGAGAGTAATTCTCCTGGAATACTTCGACTCACCTTAGGAGGTGCTTCAATGTCATCCACTTGATTCCTGAATAATTTAGTCTTGATTGCAGTCTCTACAGTCATGTTGTACTTCATAAAAGTGACATAGCTTGCGTAACAGAGTAACAGTCCAATGCTCTCGACATAGGTAATGTAGTTATCCAGGAAGAAAACAATAAGCATAATTAGTCCAATGATATAAAAGCTGACATCTCTGAACAGAGGCCACCAGGTGAGGTTGAGGATCTCGCGTGAAAAGAGAGCGCACATCCCGATGACGAACAAGATGTTGAAGACAGCAGAACCCACAATGGTCCCGATGCCCACGTTGCTGTGTGAGACGAACACACCGATCACAGAGGTGAAGAGCTCGGGAGCAGAGCCTCCAGCAGCCATGAAAGTGGCACCCGCTACGTCATCCGAGATCTCCACTTTTTCTGTGATTACGGTGAGAGCAGGGACAAAAAACTCGTCGCAGACGATAGCAAGGGCAATGAACATGTACATCATGCCGAACATATGCAGCATGACTGCACCTTGCCTCCTCTCCTCCAGTGTGAACAGATCCTCTGGATAGTCTCCCTTGTGCTCATCGGACGAGGCCATAGCGATGGGCGCATCTGCCGAAACATTGCGCTCTTCGTCGGAAGATAGGACAGTTCTGTGTGGCACTGGCTCTGCAAGTCCATCATGGTTGGTGAGAGAGGTGAGTGGCGTCCATCTTGGGAATGGGCCCAAAGTGAAAGTAAAGGCACTCCAAGACAGGAACAATGAGAGGGCAGAGATGCTCAGGATAAAACCAAAAATACGAGAAGGACGTAGTTTCCTCCTGACATGATGCACTTGATGGCGCTTGCTGTTCCGCTGCAGAGGGGTGCAATCTGACCCCAGTTTGACACTGGGGAACGTTGGATCCATGGTTGACGGGCAGCTTGGGGGTCCGATGGTCTGAAATCTATGGAGCGCCGGACATGATCACACGCCCACTCTACTTAAACCTGACAGGAACAATATACTCCCCGATTCCTTGCAGGGTCCAGAGTCTCTAATGGCTTCCTCATAATATCTCTGAAACACAACATATCACAAGAGTAAAAAATAAAAAAAAGTTTAGATTTCTCTGGATCGGAATACATTTGCCTTTTAAAATTCTGATTTACTTTATCATTTTGAATCAAAACAAACATCAATGAGAAAAATCAATTGAGAAAAATATCAACTTTTAGCATGACAATGGCATGGATATTCATTTCATTTCAAATGTATCCTACTTCATTTAAGTAGGATTAATATAACATGCTTTCCTCAGCCAATCAGGTAGCTGGCTGTCAGTCACCTTGCTGCAACCTAGTAACTTCCAGAGTACGTCTTTGCAGTGGCAAAGGAGGACAGTGTTTCTCAGACTGATCCCACACCTGTTCCATAAGGCTGCTGATTGTTGATTTAAAGCAACACTGTTGACTTCTGTTTAAAGGTGCTGTATGCAAGTTTTTGACTCTACTAAAGCATAAAAATACCATAATATGTTTGCAGATATTTAAGAAGCATGCTAAGTTAACATTGTTTATCTGAAAAACAATGCTACAGTCAGTTATTCTCCTTTGAAAATGTGTGTTCCGGACCGGAATGTCGGTCTCAGTTTTGGTTTGTGAACCCGCCCACTGCCAGTTTACCCAATTGTATTTCGTCACACCGGGTTGCCAGTTGGTGGAAAACATAGCGTCTGTCATTTCATTCATCTCAAGTGCGCTCGTTCCTGTTGGTGTCAACAATCTGGCAACCTGCGTGTGCCTCAAGTCTGAGGAGGAGGGGCCGGGTGAAAAAAACCCTCTCCAATATTTTGAATTTGGACTGCAATACCTAGTTCAACCACTCGGTGTCAATCCTACATACAGCACCTTTAATTTTAGCATTAAAGAGAACCCAAAATGTTATTCCAAATCTTTCTTATTCCAAATGCAAAAACAATAACCAAAAAGTATTTTAAAGAATGCTGGTAAGCAAACATTTTTGGTTAAAAAATAAATAAGAATAATACGAATAATAATAATAAAGAAAAAAAGAATGAGACATTTTAATGATTACAGTATTTTCATTTTTGGGTGATCTATAGTTTAAATGTTAAATAGGTCTATTCATTCCTTTATAAAAATGAATTATACAATTAATAATAATAATTATAATAATGATGATGATTATTAATATTATTAATGTCTATGATTAAAGCACACTGAAAAACATATTCCTATACCATCATTGTGCAGAATTTAACATCGTTTAAGCAAACACTCTCAGCCATTTCAGCTACAGGTTCCCTAATTGGTGACAGAAAGATTAAGAGCAATGACAGATGCTGTGGTTTTTGTTTGGTGCACATCACAAGCTCTCTTTTCCAGTATAACAGAGCCTTTGAGATGCAAGTCTAATTGGTGTGACAAGTAGACTGTTATCAAGCGTATTAACTCTTCCCCCCTCACTTCCTTATACTCTGTAACTTCTACTAATGTATGGCTTGTGCAGATTTGGTAATAGACCATCTCAACCTTCCCATAGTTTCATATTTCAAAAAGAATCTGGGATGTTTCTTTCCACACTTTAAGAAGTGAAGACATGCAGATGACTTTCATAGTATGAAAAAAAATACTATGGAAGTCAGTGGCTACCGTCAGCTGTTTGGTTACCAGCATTTTCAAAGGGTGAGTAAATTATATTTTTATTTTTGGGGCAAACTATCCCTTTAAAGTCACTTAAGTTGGTGTATAGTCAGAATGATTCAGCCATATCTGCATCGAATAAAACTAATTCAGTCATATTAGTCTTGGTAAAAACTAATTCATTTAGATGTGACCATATTAACACATTTTATTGTGCAAAAATATTGAAACAAAGCAGGATAAATGTTTACAGACAGTTTACAAACTACCATGTGAATCCTAAAATAGAATCTCATCCCATATGACTGCCAGTCCACAACTGTCTAAATATGACAGTGAGTTACAGTTAACATTGTCAATAATTGGGCTTGGCAGTGTACAATAACCCAGTGTCTAAATATAACTAACCGCTTCCAAAAATCGACTAACCAAGAGAGCCACTTTTGTTACAATCTGGCATCTATAGGTTATAGGAGGACATGTGCTCATGCGTCTAACCAATAAATAACCACAGTAATCTGGCAGACACCTCCTGATACTCACACAATGCATGCAACTAATAATACAGCAATTAATCATTCACACATGAGATATTAAACGAATAATCTATAAGTTTTGCATTGCTTATATCTCATATAATCAGAATGACAAAAAAACAAAACAACCAATAAATAGTTACATTTATTATTATTATTTAAAATAAATCAAATTAAGCAATTCCTCCACCAAATAATATAGTTCTATAGAAAGACAGAGCTATGGCAAGCAAGGTGTGCAAACTGTACATACCGTGAATGGGCTATTATACAGCTTCAACACGGCTCATCCAATAATAATTAATATTTTAATGTAAGATATTAACTCGTTGATCTACAAGTCATTTATGGTATTTGTATTCATATTTATTTTTAGTCATATAATTTATTGCATAGACCTTAAATACGTATTATAAATATGTTTTCATTAATTGTAACAAAAACTTTTTTTATTTATATTTACATTTTAAAAACTCCTGGCTGCTTCCTCAGATGAGTCCATCTGTCAAGCTAAGGATTTAATCGGATCTATAGGCCACTGTTATCCTAATTTACACAGCCTTTACTTTTACCCCATCTCACAGTATATGTCAGCACATACTGTATCACACACACTAATGTATATTTATTATCAGTGATCACATCTGCATCATAGGAACATTTAGAAAACAGTAACCAGTTAAATGCACATGTACAGTAAATGAACACCATTTGCATCAGTCACCTTGATTTTAAGACAAATTTATAGAAGATGAATGGGATAAATGATCATCCAATCATTTTATGATCAGTATTTTTTGTATTTATGCATTGTTTATGCATTATTCCTTAAGCTAGGTTTAAAGACCTTTTACACTTACATGAAAAACTCTTCATCAAGAAATAATAAAAACAGAAACACAGGAAAACGCACAAATATCAGAATACTACTATTGAATAAATCAATTTACCTTCACATCTGGTAGTTTAGCGTGGATGCTGAATCCTCCAGATGAATCTCACAGACTTATGGACACTAAGCACTTGCTGTTTCACTGTCATGGATCAAGAACGCTGCTACTGCTGCCACAGGTTAAAGGGGAGGTCTGATCTTTCCTCCCTCCCCGTCTCACTCTCTCTTTCCTTGCCCCATCCCTTCTGCATTTGTTCTGTCCTTGACAAGTTGGGTACAGTACATAACCTGCAATGGTGTATAGAACACACAACGTGTCAATGTGTGTGTGTTTTTAAATCATGATCAAGATTTTATGATAAAATGTATTGCATATGGGATCCTGTAACTGGTCACACAAGTTTTTACAAATTTTACTGAACTTTTTGTCTTCACTAGTTTAATTTTTAAATTATTTAAAGTACAAGCATTAAAGTGCAAATCTATCATGTGCTGTCACTCAATATGAGGGGATAAAAACGGCATGCATTAAAATGATACAAAAAAAATGGCAGACTCTTTGTAAAACAATAAAAACGTTCAACTTTCCAAAATGATTTAATGTCAGCTACTTTAATTTCATTTGTATAATCATAATATTATTCTTGTGACACTTCATACTTTGATTGGATGCCTTAAAGTAAATATTATTAATTATTATTCAATTTACTATTATTTCAGAATGTAAAGACATGCTAGCTTTTATAATCCAAAGTATTACATTTGCAAAAAAAAAATATATTTTTTTTAATAATATTTTCCCTTACCCATATATTTTATAATCTCATCATCACATCAGGTTTGGAGGGGATTTCCCCCTAGTTAACTCAACCGCTATTTTTTCTCTACGTGTTCCAGAACTCACTAGTCTAAATTAGTCATCTTTAGCTATGATCTCAACTCTTGAGTGGTCAGCTGTGTAGCAGGGTTAAGATTACCTTTAGCCACTCTCTTAAGCCATGACGAATATTATGTAATCTCCACACTGTTCCCCTCCCACTCCATCGCTCCCTTTCAGATAAACTCTGTTTTTCCTCAAGGGCTTGTTCCCAGAGAGCGATTCATATCAGCGAGACCCACACACAAGGACGAGATGCACCAATACCATTGGGTCCTGATGCAGCTGTATCAGATCCCACTCTTGCAGGACCTAAAGCTGCCATCCAGCCCCATAGATTGAAGCCATAGATTAATGCATCTTTTTGAGGAGAAGATTAGGCCTGTAAGGCCACAGCTTTTGCTGGGCTTTAAATAGCATTTGAGCACAGCATGCTGGATGCAGCTGAACCTGACCCTGCCCTGCATAGAGGACATTTCAGCTTAACTATTGACTAATTCCACCTCCAATCAACCACACAATCTTCCAGGAAATGGGCCAGGAGTCTGGTTCTTGCACTTCTGTGGAAAATCATGCAGAGTGTGCAAACACATCTGACCTGAGGCTAACTGTGTTCTGCAGGGTGAAAGATCCTCCTCCTGCGGTTCTTGATGCTCTGGAGAACCATACTGCACTATACAGACATTACAGTTACATTTAGCCACTGTGGTCACCTCACCAGTAATGAGTTTTTACGTAGGGCTGTGCAATATATCAAAATTATCGAAATATCGCAAATGTACATATCGCAATATGCATATCGCTACAGCTTGCAATATTTGGGGCCATGAACAAAAGACAAAGAGAAAATCACTCACTGCTCTTACCTAAATAACTTTTGTAGCTTAAATAAGAATCAGTGCATATTGAATTCAAAGAGGAAATACTAAACAGTGTTTTATTTTTCCTTTTTATTATTCAGTTCCTAAACTCATGTTAAAATGATTACACTAATGTTAAAATGACATTTTTATGTAATGCTCGAGTAAAACACATACCGTTCACTTTCAGAAGTTGTTGTAGAGGTGCTTTCTTATTAAAATCAGAATGAGCTTTATTCACCACTTAAGTGTGCGCAAACAGGAACTATTGGTACATACTGTAAATACATACAAATAACCATATATATTGGACACAAGATAGTTATAGAAGTTCACAGAACTGACTCAGCAACAGCTGAGTAAAACTGTTTCATTTGAGCATGTGGCACTTTAAGCATTATCGTATCGCATATCGAATATCGTATTATTTAATGAGTTATCGCATATCGCATTTTTCTTCAATATCGCACAGCCGTAGTTTTTAGACATTGTATGATTGGGATGGCATGGTATATGTTTAAACATAAAACATTAATTATTCTCATTTAACTACAAATATTTGCTTGATACTTGTAACCATAATCACTATAACGCCATTTGATGTCACAAGTGTCTTTTTAGTAACCATGGCCAACATTCATTCAAAAAAAAAACTGCCTTCTCTTGATATTATTTTCGGATATACTCTGTGTAAAACTTTCTTATTACTCTTAGCCGGTCTATTGTTGTTGAATGAACGATCCGCTCTGATATCGTAAGCGTACCGCAAACCATCAGATTAATCGCACAGTTAGAAAAGTTAAAACCCTCTGCAAGTAGCTTGCTCTTGTATGTTTAATTAAAGCTGCAGTCCGTAATTTTTTTTGGTTAAAAGTGATCCGAAAAATGTGCTTCTGATTACAGATAGCCTGGGCTTACACAAGATTTGTATTTTAAAGACAACCAGTTCGAAGGGAGCATAATTCTTTTGGGTTAAAATAATTTCTTAATATGAAATTCGAGTGGTATGACAATTAGAAATTAGACTGTACAGAAATTGAAATCTACTCGCTTATACACACTATACTCATAGTCACGCAATGCTGATATTGTTAACATTAACAATTTGAGAATAAAGTATAACAATAATAATAATTTGCAAGGTTTGATGTGATATGAGCTCATTTAGATTAAATCCCCTTTGGTAGAGCGATTTATTGTAATGCTTTTTTCCTCAGTTGGTCAGAACAAACGTGGCAGACTTGTTACTTACTTGTTCAGATGACAATATCTGGTGAAAATGCTTATTTGAGTCATATATTTCAAGACGTAGGCTAGAATCTGTGAGTGCAAAGTACAATATCCACTCCGGTGCGGTGACTGACTGCCACACATACTCCTCAAAACATTAGATTCATCCGCGCTGGAGCCGTGCCAGAGTACAACCCACGCAAGGAAGATAATTCCGCACACAGCTGCAATTGCAGGTTTTCAAACAGAGATGGCGACAAAGAGGCCAAATTTACGGACTGCAGCTTTAACCAGAGATGCCGATAAAGAGTTAGTGCGCCTTTAAAAAAAATAGGCTAACATAAAATGTAATTTCATAATTGAAAACATACCTTTAACTTATATTAAACTTTGTATTTATTATACAGATAATTCTATAGAAATGCCAGCCATTTCAAAATCCATGATGTAGCAAATGTTTTAACGTATAAATACAAGTGTGTGTTCTTAATATTGTGTTTGTGTGTGTGTGAGTGTGTAGGCCTTCATTTTAACACATTTTCTTGTGAAAGAATGCACTGTTTAATATATATATTGTTCATCATAAATGGTAAAATAACTATTAACTGTAGGCCTACTTTAGGCCTACTAGAAGTTACAGTTTAACATTTACAAATATATGTGAACTCTCCATTTGAAATATTTGGCATCTGTTCCCTGTCTTCCAATAGACACAATTTTGGTGATAATGGTATTGTTCCATTTAAAATTTGGTGCCATAAAGGCTGAATAAGTGGACACTCCCAGTAAGATACAGTGAATAAAAGTACCTCTGTCCTTTTGACATTTCCAACAAACATTATTATTTGTCAGGCCCATTCTATTAAGTCTAAGGGGTGTCAGATAGAACCTGTGTATGATTTGTACTGTGTAAATTGCCCTCTGGCTTCTCTTACGTATAACCTGTATTTGGCAAAATTATTTTCCACTCTTCGACAGCCCCAATGTCCTTTTCCCATATTGTCTTTAAATTTGTGCAGCCATTGCTGAACACATGGTTGGTCGTCCTGTAGAATACAAATTTACATATTTAAACTTGAATTATGCCCATTAATTTTATACGTGTATAGTACAGTATTTGTCAGTGCGAGAAAAGTGACATGATGACTGTTCAAAACACAGTGACCCCTTTTGCTGTGTCTTTGCTCCATGGGACAGAAAGACAGAGAGTGTCAGTGCCACTGAGCAGTTCCTGTGATACTGAGGCCAGGAGATGAGTTCTAATCCTATTTTAATCGTGGTGGGATTAAGAAGACACAGAAGATCCTAATCTGCGCAGATTACCAATGCTGCTTCCAAAAGGAAGAAGAAGGGTTGTATAAGCAAGTGCACTTGAGGTGATTTAGGCATCGCGGTTTCATTCCCAGCAAGGTCTCAAGGTGGACACACCCCTGAAATTTAGTTAAGTGTGTGTGTGTGTGTGTATGTGTGTGTGTGTGTGTGTGTGTGAGTGTGTTAAACATTACCAATGTCAAAATTGGTTTCATATTTATACTTTAATGTTAATTGGTGGATTTCAAGGAATAGCCAAATACTTTTTTAACAGAATATCATAGTGTTTAATTATACCTCTTAAGGTAAAGATCTATGTTTGTGTTAACTGTGAAATTAATGCAGTTTATTTAACCATAAACCATAAAGACCCAGGCAAAGGTTAATCTGTAAGCTTTGACACGTGTGTTACAGAATCACTAATAAGTAGCTTATAAATGAATGGTTGTTTGCAATGTTGTTACTGTTCTTGTACAGCTGTAAATTAATATTAATTTCTATTTACTAAATCCTGACCTTCATCAGGTTATCTTTAAAGGGCAGGTACTCTTCGACACTTTGGATGACATCTTTCATACCCTCTAGCGCCATCTAACGTCTACTTAAGACTGCATGCGGAATACATTATATGCAGTCTTTAGATGTAGCTACAATTTTAATAAAAGCTACAATATAATATGCTCACATCTACAACTTTATTAAACACAAGCAAATTTTAAAAGATTGCAATATAATTTTAGTCATATTTAATAGTGTAACTGCAGTGAAGTTTTTATGATGAATTTTAATTTGTATTTTGTAAAAAATATTCCAAGGGGGTGAATAATAAGGTTTGTTATTGTCTTTTAACACTCAATTTCATTAAATATATTACATTTTATAAAGATTAACATTTTAAAACACTGCATGGCATGTGAGCCTTATGTAGGTTGATCATTACATTTTAGAGACAATTAATAACACTTTATTGTTAATAAGTAGTGTCTAGAAAAGAGTCACAGACATAGACACAGGCTTACCACACATAAAAAAAACATATACAATTTATTGTTTCCAATACCACCATCTTGGGAAACAATGTAAAATGGTTTATTACATTTGTTAAATAAGGTCATGTAAAATTAATATGAAGAAATTACACAGAAACAGGGAAAATAAGAATAAAAACAAAATACATTTCTGGCCAAATATAAGAAATGCAGATCCACCTCCTTTTCTTTTTCTCAAGTATGCCATTATTGAGACAATATTTATGACTCGTTCACAGCTAGGGCAATAACTATAACGATAAAGTTTTAATAATCTTGCTCAGAAAAACTACATTTTCTGATAATAACAAGATGATTATACAGTATGATACAATTGCAGCAATTTTAATTTAAATTGTGTTGCTGTTTTTTTTTTTTTTTTTGAGAAACTGGAAAAAATATGCCAATATTTAAGATTTTTATGGCACTTCCAGTCAACAATGTACCAAAAGTTTAGGCTATGAGTTTTAAGCCAGAGCCAGCATGGGCTAGATTACAAGTGCTAGACAAAAAAAGGGATTTGTTTAGACCTGCATATTTTTAATACTAAAATGTCCCTGTTCTCCAGTTTCACTGTGCACATACTGCAAAACCAGTTAAGTGTTTTTACCTTTCACCAAGACTGTCCAATACTTTAATGAACTAAAAACAAACATATTATGATATATTAAGGTTACAGACATCAGGAAAGTGTAAAGTGAAAAGGCATTATCACAACCATAGGGATTCATTAAATCAGCTTATGTTTCAAATAATCTCACAAACCCTGTTTTTACAAAAGTCACAAAACCACTATCTAACAGGCTGCAGGTTCATGTCACAATCAAAGCAAAACATTCTCGTCATCTTTCATGATTTCAGAAATATTTCATGATTCAATATCATACATATGGGTGAATCTCATAACAATATGTCCCTTTTATATTTATGCATTTGGCAGATGCTTTCATCAAAATCATTAAATTCTCCAATTTCTCTAAATGCTAAGATTAACTATTAAATTAAGCCTATTTTGTACCATCAAGATTTTTCGGTACCATTACCAATAGTTTTTTTTGCAATTCACATCTCACTGTATTGAAAATTATACCGTCTGGAATCTAGATTTTTTTTTTTTTTTAATTAAAATTCTCAGAAATTAAAGAGAATACAACAAATACTCCCATATAAAAATTTTATGAAATTAATTAAATAATAAAAATACAGCTATTTTTTTTTTACTATTATAGTACTGAGAATTAGAAGGGACAACATGCTTAAATGCCATAAAAATTATGTCACTCAGCCTTAATGTTAAGAAAAATAGGCTTATTTTTCTTCATAGAAAATATAATTTTTAAAAACATTTTTTGGGGGTGGGGGTTTGACCTAGACATGTTATTTGACATGAAATTCACCCATATACCCAGTTTGGTAGGTCAACAGAATCTGAATCAGTCTTAAATCTGGCAAAATCTTAGTGCTAATGTTTTAAAAACATTCTAGTGACACCATTACTTACACAGTGGCTATCATTTGAAAATCCAGTACAGATAAACATAGCGATTCACAAAAATATCTTCATATAGCTGAACACACTGGGAAAATGTAGTGTTATTCCAATAAGCATGCAGTTCAGTTTCCCTTAGTTTCAAAAGCAACTGTGTTTTATAAAATCCATCAAACCATGGAATCCATATACACACACACACAATCTGACAATGTGAACAAAATAAACAAAGTCTCAATGGATTATGTACATTTGAAAGTCATAATGCGAGTCAAACACTCATGTAGTGTGAAGTAGACAGGAACTCTTCCTTGAACACAATCTGCAGACTACTACTGTCTCACTAAAACTGGGTCTGCACAGAATCTGATTTCCACAGAATGCTAGTCATTCGCACAATTCTACACATCCCCCTCAAGTAATAAATACTCAGCCTAATTTGATTGTAATTATGTAATTAGCTACCAATAGAACTATAGTACTCTTAGCATTAACGAACACATTTTATCATTTAAATATCCATTCTGCATAATTACGCAGATTTTATTTATTTATTTTTCTCCCTACAAACAGTGCAGAAAATGCAGAAAAAGTGCACGGACTCATTCAGAACTAATAACCTATAAACACTGAGCTTGCTTGCATTTGCCTACATTAAAACAACTCATTAACTGAACCATTGCTTCTTCTACCCAACAGATCAATTATATGTTTTTAGTTGCATTCATTTTAACTTGCAAAATGCAATGCTTATTGTGTCAAATACGCTCATCTGAAGGATATATACTGTACATAAATCAACAGTCAAAAATGTTACAGACAGAATGCAAGTGGCCTTAAACGAATAGTTCACCCAAAAATGAAAATTTGCTGAAATGGGTGCCGTCAGAATAAGAGTTCAAACAGCTGATAAAAACATCACAACAATTCACATGACTCCAAATCAATTAATGTCTTGTGAAGTGTTATGGACGATGGTATTTTGTCCAGAAGTGACGGTTTAAAGTTAAAACGCCTTAAATGATGGATTTTTTTTCTTATTTTTCTTACAAACATGCAACTTTTTACTTCACAAGATGTTAATTGATGAACAAGCCATAGAGTTGTGTTGATTACTTGTGGATTATTGTGATGTTTTTTTTTCAGCTGTTTGGACTCTCATTCTGACGGCACCCATTCACTGCAGAGGATCCATTGGTGAGCAAGTGATGTAATGCTACATTTCTCCAAACCTGTTCTGATGAAAAACAAACTCATCTACATCTTGGATTGCCTGACGGTGAGTACATTTTTAGCAAATTTTCAGTTATGGGTGAACTATTCCTTTAAATGTTTCTTAAAGACGACATCTGAGTTAATACTGTTTTTTATATTTTGTACTTGAAGGATTAAAATCAAATCAAAGCAAAACATGAAGATGTCGCTGTACACTGAAATATAAAGGAGGTATGTGAATGGAATCCCTCACTGGTTGCTAGGATACTGTGATGACAATGTGCCAACCCTGCTGCTGACTGACAGAGAAATGGGGATCTGTCTGCAGAACGGCTCGAATGCTTCAGGTGAACAAACTGGAGGATGAAAAACAGATGTTAGTAAGATGTGACAATGTATACCTGCTCATTACCATTAAACTCACAGCTTAAGAAAACAAGATTCCATCCAGTGTGCTTGTTATGAGTTGGGACTGAAACCGCATTAAACCAAACAGGTGTTTGCTACCAGTCTAAATGAATTAAAAAGATGGTTTTAATAAATGGTTTCATTGTTAGTCTTTGTGACTCTAATCAAAATGCAGATCTCATGACGGGTGTAATTCTTTTATCAGGGATGTTCCTTACCAGCTCTCCCTGACCGCCTCAATGTCACTCAGAAGATTCTGTGCCAGGCAGATCCCAAATATCTAGAAGCAGGGAAAAGGTTTTTATATCAGGCAAAACAAAACGACACTGAATTAATCATCACTGTGTTTGACATGTGGCTTCCTGGACATTATTAAATCTAATGCAAAATTCAATTCTAAACTATTATATGCCCTAAAGAGGACACAGCTGTCTATAAATCAATAAAGTAACCACGCTTGGCAGATTGCATTTCGGTTGTAAATTCGAAGGACAGCTGCTGAAATGAAAGAGCACTCACAAGACACTGGAGATAAATTAAGACAATGGGTTTTAATGCATCAGAGGGCCCTGTTTATTAAATTGTGAGGGAGCGTAAGCTATATCAAAGCTCCAATGCTACCGTTCAAAAGTTTGGGGAGAATTAGTAAGACGCTTACAGAACCTGCATTTATTTGATAAAAAAAAGCAGTAAAAACAATAATACTGTGAAATAGTTACAATTGAAAATAACTATATAACAAAGTTTTTTTGCTCAAGAAAAATGTATTAGCAATGTTGAAAATAGTTGTGTTGCTTAACATGTTTGTGGAAACCGTGATGGGTTACCTTTTTTCCCCAGTATCCTTTGATTAATAGAAAATTCAAAAGATCAGCATTTGAAATAGAATTCTTTTGTAACAGTAAACATGTCTTTACTTGGGTTGTGCTGATAGACCAAAGTATCGTGTATCAACGATAGTCAGAGATATCGCCTGTGGTTGATGCCTTTGATTATTATTTTTATTAGGCTAGCATTATTATCCAATTAATATTAGGGCTTATTTGTGCCATCATATTTATTTTTACACATTTTTACAGCGTTATAACTAATCACACACGATTCTGTTGAGCTTATGAATGCAATGGCCAATCAGAAGCGTTCAGATGAGTCATCGCTGAAATACCAAGAGTTTTGTAGTTCAGTGCTCGCTCGCTGACTGAATTCTGCTCTCTCGCGAATCCTCTCATCATAAATGAGAAAGTGCAGATGTATGTGTGATGTAAATTTAAGATGTAGCTTAACTGATTATAATGGGAGTGTTTTTTAAGTGCATAAACTCACGCTAGACTTAAAGGGATAGTTCACCCCAAAATCAAAATTCTGTCATTTATTACTCACCCTCATGTCGTTCCAAACCCGTAAGACCTTCGTTCATCTTCGGAACACAAATTAAGATATTTTTGATGGAATCTGAGAGCTCTCTGACCCTCCCATAGACAGCAAGGGGCCTTACACGATCAAGGTCCAGAAACGTAGCAAGGAGATCGTTAAAAATAGTCCGCGTGACATCAGTGGTTCAACTGTAATTTAACGAAGCTACGAGAATACTTTTTGTGCGCAAAGAAAACAAAAATAACGACTTTATTAAACAATTCGTCTCCTCCGCGTCACCCTATAGCGCCATTTTGGAGTATCACATACGTAAACAACGTATGCAATGTATATACGCTGATACAGTTTACGTTCAGATCAAAGTGCAAACAACATAAACAGCGCATCCACGTACAGTGCTGCTGACATAGAACAGCATACGTGGTTTACGTATGTGATACTCTCCAAAATGGAGGAGGAGACAAATTGTTGAATAAAGTCTTTATTTTGGTTTTATTTGCGCACAAAAAGTATTCTCGTAGCTGTGAGAGTAATTAATGAGGAATTCTATTTCAAATGAGTAATTAATGACAGAATTTTAATTTTTGGGTGAACTATCCCTTTAAGTCGGTGATGATGTTCTTTGATGATGTAAATGGTCTTTGCTCATTTTCTGTAGCTGCTGTTTGTATAACTGAGATAATGGAAGCATTATAATTAGTAACTTACAATGTTTTTATTAAATTGTGATCATGTTAAATACAAATTCAGGCATACTAAAAATATTTTATGAAATTATATCCATATGCTACTTGACAAAAAAGATATAATGTGTAGATTACACTAATATTAGGCTGCTTTTAACTGTACCTTGGAGTTGGTTCACTCGCTGGCTATGATAATAATTAAATAAATTAGCACGATGATATTGTGTATCGGTGAAATCACAGGCTGACGATAGGATGATATGACTATGAAGCATATCGCCCAACACTTTACGGTCACTTTTACACATTTTAATCCATCCTCTGTGAATAAAAGTATTCATTAGTTTCAAAAACAACAACAACAAAAATGTACTGACCCAAAACTTTTGAATAGTGGGCTTAAACCTCTCTGTAAAGTATATTCAAATTATATAAACATTAAATATTGATAGGTTTCAGAGCCTATTAATAAACAAAATAAATAATATTAAAATGCAGGACAAATGTAAAATGACACAACTGTCAATGTGTCTTGATACTCTTAGAAGATACTGCATTACAGTCAAAGAGAGTACATTTTGTAAATGATCTATCATCAGTTTTATTTTTTCCTTAACTTATAAATGACTGCTGTTTATAGTGGGACATACACAATATAATGTTCAGTGTGCATGTGTATTTCAATGACCGTTGTTGTTTATTCACCTGCAGAAGTGCAATTCCTATGAAGATTCCGGCAACTACGGTTAAATTCTCCTGTAACCATTTCTCAAACTGTGGTACACATCCTTTTGTGTGTATAAACATCTTCTGTTCGTTGTCCTTCACACATAAAAGCACACATTAACCAAAGATGCAAAAGCTTAAACAATTCTACTTACAAAACATTTGAGTAAGCCATCGTATGGCTTCAGAAAACTTGGAATATAGTGCATATGAACCACTTTTATAATAATTTTATGGGGATTTTGTGTCATTTTGGACATCGACTGCCCCAGTTCTCAGTCACTTCACTTATATGGAAAAGACTGGCTAGGATCTTTAAATCCAATTTTGCTCCACAGAAAAAGAATTGTTGTGAATAAACGATGACTTTTTGGGTGAATATTCTTTTGACAAATGCGTACTTACATCTTTCGCTCGAATGTCATATCCACACTGTGTGTTTATCACATCCTCCTTTGAGAAGAGAAACAATAAGAAAGCCAGGATTTAGTCCACTGGATAACTTAACATTCCACATTAAATCATAGGCTTTGAGCATTATATTAAATGGAGAACTGTTGTGTCGTATGTGGGTGCGCTCTGTCTGCCGGCTCTACATCACTTCCTGTTTATGTTCCCACGTCTTCTGGAAGGAGACAATGACACATTCTAGGCGGTAAGATGACTGGAAGACGTGTGTCTGTGTGTGCTGCATGCGTGTTAAGAGCGTATACACTGTTTACTCACAGCAGGGTCCTTGGTGCAGCAGGAAAAGGGAACCCCACATTTCTCTCTGCTCAGATTAGTGTCAGTACAATTAAAGTAAATGTTCAGATTCCAGTCTTCAGGCCCAAAGGCTCCACAACACTCCCACTGCAGAAACATACATGCATTGAATATCCAGGTGCGAACCAACCAACCAGCCAACAGCTGAAAGCCATTACAGATTTGAACATATTGCTGCTAGCTCACAAAATCAAGTGTATTTTTAAATTTTCATATTGAATATATAGTAATAGAACTAAATATGAATAACTTATTGAATGGCTAAACTGTGGTACACATCCTTTTGTGTGTATAAACATCTTCTGTTCGTTGTCCTTCACACATAAAAGCACACATTAACCAAAGATGCAAAAGCTTAAACAATTCTACTTACAAAACATTTGAGTAAGCTATCGTATGGCTTCAGAAAACTTGGAATATAGTGCATATGAACCACTTTTATAATAATTTTATGGGGATTTTGTGTCATTTTGGACATCGACTGCCCCAGTTCTCAGTCACTTCACTTATATGGAAAAGACTGGCTAGGATCTTTAAATCCAATTTTGCTCCACAGAAAAAGAATGGTTGTGAATAAACGATGACTTTTTGGGTGAATATTCTTTTGACAAATGCGTACTTACATCTTTCGCTCGAATGTCATATCCACACTGTGTGTTTATCACATCCTCCTTTGAGAAGAGAAACAATAAGAAAGCCAGGATTTAGTCCACTGGATAACTTAACATTCCACATTAAATCATAGGCTTTGAGCATTATATTAAATGGAGAACTGTTGTGTCGTATGTGGGTGCGCTCTGTCTGCCGGCTCTACATCACTTCCTGTTTATGTTCCCACGTCTTCTGGAAGGAGACAATGACACATTCTAGGCGGTAAGATGACTGGAAGACGTGTGTCTGTGTGTGCTGCATGCGTGTTAAGAGCGTATACACTGTTTACTCACAGCAGGGTCCTTGGTGCAGCAGGAAAAGGGAACCCCACATTTCTCTCTGCTCAGATTAGTGTCAGTACAATTAAAGTAAATGTTCAGATTCCAGTCTTCAGGCCCAAAGGCTCCACAACACTCCCACTGCAGAAACATACATGCATTGAATATCCAGGTGCGAACCAACCAACCAGCCAACAGCTGAAAGCCATTACAGATTTGAACATATTGCTGCTAGCTCACAAAATCAAGTGTATTTTTAAATTTTCATATTGAATATATAGTAATAGAACTAAATATGAATAACTTATTGAATGGCTAATGCATATATGTGTGTATATATATATATATATATATATATATATATATATATACACACACACACACACATACATATATGTGCGGTCAAATGATTAATCGCGATTAATCGCATCCAAAATAAAAGTTTTTGTTTGCATAATATATGTGTGCATTCTGTGTATATTTATTATGTATATATATAAAATACACACATACAGTATATATTTTGAAAATATTTACATGTATTTACATGTCTATATTTATATTATAAACAAATATATTTAATATATAAACAAGCTATTTTTCAGAAATATATACATGCATGTATGTGTATTTAAATATACATAAATATACACAGCACACATTATGTAAACAAAATATTTTATTTTGGATGCTAATAACCGCGATTAATTGTTTGACAGCACTTACACACACATATATATATATATATATAAATAAATAATTATTATAAATATTTTTATTATACCAGCAAAATAAACAGTGAAACATTTCAGAAGGGCATACTTGTTGATTTAGACTTATGTTTGCACATTAAATTGCCATTACCACAAAAAAGTAACTTTACCTTATAAAATTTTTTTTAAAAATTCTTGGTTTGGTTTTATGCGTGTGCCAGTGTGTTCTTACATAATCTTGTGTGAAGTCGATGAGATTCTGTAGGTCAATGTCATCTCTGTACGCTCTAATATTGTTGTTGATGAAGAACTTGAGCTGGTCTTTAATCCAGTCCTTAAAGACAAACGCCAAGACTCCCGCAGTCAACTCCAGGAAAAATATGATTCCCAGAAAAACGGAAAACTGCGGAAGAGGAAAGCAGAGTTCTGGTTACACAACTCATGACGGATAATATCAGCTTTAAAGGTCTCCAGTAAATCAAGAATGTGTTAAATTCCCACAGCAGATTAAACTAAGTTAAAAACTAATTTTTTTTTCTGGTTTATGATTCATAACCCTGCCAACATCCCTCGAAACATTTACAGAGAAATTCAAGGTTTTTTTTTTTTTTTTTTTAGAGATGACGCAGTTCTCCTCATTTCCCATCTCAAAACAGTCACATTTTCACAACATTCAGCTCTTACTGCACACACAATTTTTTTAAACAAGTACAGTGAGCAATGATTTGTCACTGTGACCGCAATGAATACTTCCCAACTGACATCACAGTTCATCTGGTGTTTCCAGATGTTTTAAGAAAGCCTCCGTTGCCCTACAGAGGAAACGGGCCTCTTGTAATACTTTCGCAACACCATTCTTGACATTCCCATAAAGCTCTCACAGTATCCTCTCTCATATGAAAGGAGTAACACAGACCCCCAGAACCTGCATGAGAGGAAGTTCACACACTTTCAAACCACATTCAAATCAGTCAATCTCACCTCACCTACCTACGTAGTTACTCATATCCAGCCATTCAAAAATGTGATTAAACACCTGCACTCTCTATTCACATATGTCTGCACACGGCTGAGATAAGCATTCTGTTTACAGTATTTGCAAAGCAGCATTGTATTCGTTTTTTCTCAAACATTCAGGTTAGGGATCAAGTATTAAACTTTTGCAATGAATTTAGCTCAACCACTTCATATATTGTACAATACAGACTCCATTCAAATTTGCTTTGTAAATAATTTCAGCTTTGGGTTTAAAGTCGGACCATGTTGAATTGTCATTTTTAGAATATTGGCTTTAATAATCTAACAGGCAGTCTGTACATCGTTGTAATATTTGCAAACTAAACTAACTATACTTCTTTCTTGCATTTATTTGCATAGGCCTACTTTTTTATCATTTAGGTTCTTCAAGGTACTTTATAGAGCAAAAAAACTCTTTAGATTATTAAAATGGTTCTTTTAAGAATTGTTCTTGTAAGAATCTTCCCACAGAACCTTTTTGGGTTTCTATGTCATCACTGTGAAAATCCTCTCCTGGAACCTTTACTTTTAATGTGTACATTGCAAAACAGGACACAGAAATGGCATTGTGTAAAACACTTCATCATGCAGATAAGATGTGTGCCATGACAACAAGTTCAAGGCACTTATGCCAAACCAAAGACTGAAACTTTAAATGTACCTAAAGCTTTAACACAATCCTTTCACTGCCTTACAAATACTGGAATAGAGCGCTGCACTGATGACAAAATTTTGTAGAACCTGGAAAATTTGCATCACCCCGATTCCCTTGAGAAAAACTCAATACGATTTTTCCATAGGCAGTTTTTCCAAGTGGGTATTACTGATGATTTCTTATGAAAATATCTTGGGCTTATGTTAACCACACACCTTATTTCAGGCTTTTAACCAAAAACCAGTAACCTCAGTTCCCTGAGATAAGGGAACGAGCGTTGTGTATGGGAAAACTCCTGTTTTACTCTGTACTGAAGCCTGATTTGCTCACGTTTGTGCAGCTGCTGAGGCACCATACATGAAGGCTCCACAGCTCCGGCCGGGGATGCCAAATCATGCCTTTCGCCTGCGAGAGAAGGTTCTTCAGCGGAATGGGCCACGGAGCTGCTACTGAGAGTGGCACTAGCTCCGGGAATCACGCTGGTTCCTCCAGAGTGGAGCCACTAGGATGAGAGAGCACTTGGTCTCCCTGACCAGCCTGACGACCTGAGGAATCAGGGCGATCGGGGTAAAAGCATATAAGCGAGCACTGGGCCAATCATGGGCCAGAGCATCTCAATGAATTGAAAAATATGTTGGGCAGTGAGAGCTGTCTTCTGAGGCAAAGAGGTCGACCTCTGCCTTCCCGAAGCCTGACCAGATCTCTTGAACCGTTTGAGGGTGTAACTCCCATTCGCCCGGGGCTGCCTTGCCTCTGGACAGCATGTCTGCGCCAAGGTTCAATCTGCCCGGCACATGAACCACCCTTAGCGAGAGGAGCTCCCTGTGTGCCCAAAAGAGGAGGCGACGAGCCATCCTGCAAAGAGTGTGTGACCTGAGACCACCTTGATGATTGATATAAGCCACCACCGTCATGCTGTCCGACCAGACGAAGACATGGTGCCCTTTCAAGGCCGGAAGAAAGGTTTTCAGGGCTAAGAAAACCGCCAACATCTCTAGGCAGTATGCAGGCGTTGCTCCGGGGCTGACCAGGAGCCGAATGCCGGATTGTCCTCCAGCAACCGGAGTTGGAGGCATCCATCGTGACTACCTTCCTTCTGGAGCTCGTGCCGAACCTCATTCCTGTTTGGAACAGGGGGCCACAGCCTTGACACAGAGCTGGTGTACCCTGACAGGAAGCTGCCCCAGGCGCCAAGCGTGGGATGGAATGCGGGCCTTGAGCCAAAACTGAAGGGGCCGCATGTGAAGCAGGCCCAGAGGAATCACAGAGGCAGCGGCCGTCATGAGGCCAAGCAACCGCTGAAAAACCTTTAGGAGGCATGTCGTCCCCGGTTTGAGGGATGCCCCCAATCGCTGAATAGTCAGGGATCGTTCCAGCATAAACCATGCCCGCATTTGGGTAGAGTCTAAAATCATTCCCAGAAAGACCGCTCGCTGCCTGGGTAACAACTGACTCTTGTGCGGGTTGATGATCAACCCAAGGCGCTCCAAGTGGCTGAGTAACAGCTCTCTGTGGGCAGCCAACTCCCATTGGCCACTCCCTCAAACGCGAATCTCATGAACGGTCTGTGATTGGCGGCTATGAATGCTAGAAACGAAACTCTATTGCTCAGAGGTTCTCGGTGGGATGGAGGATGAAAACGAGCTGTTTTTCGGGGCGTTCCAGCCGAGGCAAGAACAGAGCCCCTCCTCTTTCTCTCTGGCGCATCAGGACGGCTTTGTCCTGATGCGCAGTCCTTTCTCTCTGGCGCATCAGGAGCTCGGGGTCCAGCACAACTCGTGGGCGAGGGGAGCGTTTTGCCATCCAGGAGCGCTGTTGCAGCCCAGGCTCTGATTTTCGTTGGAGCTGAGGCTGCGCTGGCTTTGCAGAATGAGTGGCGGGGTTCTTCTGGCAGCTCTCAGCTGCAGGGCCAGAGAGTTTGGGGAGGAAGTGACGCAGCACTTGAGACATCTTCTGAGCCTCCAAAAACCTCTCTGCAAACCCATCCACAGCAGGGCCGAACAGCCCCTTCGGCGAGACCGGTGAGTCGAGGAAGGTCATTTTCTCAGCGTCCCTGATCTCAGTAAGGTTTAACCATAGGTGGCGCTCCAGCACCACCAGACTGGCCATGGTCTTGCCGATCGCCTGCGCCGTTGCTTTCGTGGCGCGCAGAGAAATCCTTGAAAGCCTCCTGGTGTTCTTGGCCAGAATCGTCCATGCCACGGAGAAGCTTTGCTTGAAATACCTGGAGAACTGCCATTGTATGCAGCGCCAAACCGGCCTGACCGGCTGCTGCATAAGCCCTGTTGGTGAGCGCCGAGGTGCTCCTGCAGGGCTTAGATGGATGTGCTGCATGGGCCTTTAATGCAAGGGCAGATGGCGGGCACAGAAGAGCAGCAACCGCTTCCTCCAGAGGGGGGAGCTTGCTGTACCCCTTGTCATCAGCGCCATCAACGGTCGTGAGAGCTGCTGCTGTAGAGGGATTTACCCGAGCAGAGTAGGGGGCGCGCCACGTCTTGGGGAGCTCGTCATGAACTGCAGGCAAGAACGGGGCGGGGCGTTGGTGAGAGGACTGTTGACGCCTTCACGGCAGGTACCTCTCGTCCAACAGGTTGTGGGCGTGCTCTCCCGGAGCCGACCACTCGAGGCCCAGGACCTCCACCGCCTTTGACAGGATGCGGATGAGTTCGATGTCCAGCTTCGGCCTTGGAGCTTGAGAGGGGGGAGGGACTTCGGGCTCGTCGCCGGAATTTTCCCACTCTTCTGTGTCAGACGCCGCCAAAGACATGTAGTCGCTGGCAATAACGTCCTCGCTGACAGCGTCCTCTTCAGCCGAATGAAACCAAGCCACTTGCAACCGAGGAGGGGCGCTGGTCATCTTGTGTGAAGCACACCTGCGAGGCGAGAGGACAAGGGGGGGGCGGGGCATGCGGGCATTGAGCCTGACAAAGCTCTGACAAAGACCCACTGCCCCGCTGATGTGGGTGCTGCCGAGACTGTGCTCATCCATCTCATGCAAGGGTTCCTTCCTCGCGACATTTGCAACAATGTGCGCTGAGAAATTTGCTCTTTAGGAATACTCCACTTGCTCTTCAAGCGCCGGACGGCCGCAGTGAGTCTTCGCTGCTTCGGGTGTCTTCGATGGCGGCGAGCAGAGCTGGAGCTTCTTTCTCTCGGCTTCTTCCAGAGTCAGCGATGAGATGATCATCGTCGCTGAAGGAGAATGACAGACCTGCCAACCTTGGAAATTTTTTTTGAGTGCCATCAGTGTGGCTCGGGGAGTGGGAGGGTTTGCAAGATTTAATGTTAAATATTTTTAGGTTAATAATCAGGGTCTGCACTCAGTTTGTGATATTCCTGTTATACAGTATTTCAGAGTAAACAATGCAACAATACAGTTAGCCCACGGTTCAATAAATACCTCAGTTTTTTTTTTTTTACCACGGTTTTTGGTTTAGTTCTTTTTTGCTATTTATAAATGCTATTTTTAAAAAAGTAGTATTATTTTTATGAATTGGCCATTATTTAGTGCTATGAACACATGTAATGTGTGTTTCATTCACACTGGATGCACAGAAAATCCACATATACATTATAGAAGAAATAGAACTCAGGACGCTCCAGGAAATTCCTAGTATGGACAAAAACAGCCAGCTATCCCTAACTGAATGAAAGAAGACAGAAACACTTTGAATGATGACATTAAAAAAAACATTAAGATAATAAACACTGTACTGCGACAATGCAGGGGTTAAAGCAAAAAAAAAATATTTTGACTGAAATTTTTCCTCAGCCAAACCCCATTCCACAGTCATACCTGTCACACACCCAGTTTAAGAGCAGTTTTTTCTTGTAATTAGGAGCGCTTGTCCTCCTAATTTAAAAAAAATTTAGGAGCACCTTCTGATCAATAATAAAAAATTCTGATCAAAAATTTGCCTTCCTAATATGAGGTGACATTTGACTCAAAGTGATTTATAGTGGCATTTTCTTTTGACCTTTGTAACGGCATTTTTCTAATTTTATTAAATGTATGCAGTGTTTCCTCGGATTTTTTCCAGCTGTGGTGGCAGGACTATTTCCCATGGACAACACCCCCTCCCCACCAAAGAATCATGTGCACTCAGAATTGAATTTATTTTAACTAAAAAAGACAAGCAAATAGTAAATAATAAAATAAGAACAAATAAATTAATGACAATCAATAGCACAAACAAAAACAAGATACAAATTAAATTAACAGTACTTAAATTTTTTTCAGTTAGATCTAATTATAATCTATTCAACTGTAAAATAACACTGTTTAGTCTTCACTGTATAATGGAGGTTTATTTAGGCTGCTGTCTCTTTGAGACCTCATGCACGGATCAAATATACGGTTACACATATGGCTCTATGCTTACTTTTCTTTTTAGGAGCTCTTGTCCTCCTAATTAAATTAATATTCAATAATCAAATTCATACATTCACGTGGAGATTAATGTTTTAAATATAAATTTTGAATACAGAAATATTAAATGATTTAAATAACTGAAATTATAAGCTAAAAATTAAACTAAATCCGCCATCAGGTGGCGGCAAGTCACTAATTTTATCACTGAATCATTCATTCAATTGATTCGTTCGAACAGCTCATTCATTCAGGAATGAATTAAGCAAGTGACTGTCTTTATGAATGGGTAATCATGAATCACGGACTCACTAGATTCGTTCAAAAACGCACTTTCATTGAATGAATAAAACATTTTCTTTTAGAGATGCGCAGGGGCTGAGCTGTTACTATATTTGGGACTATTTTCGTTGAAGAAATAGAGCAAAATTAGGTAGTACTTGTTTATTGAACTGTTGTATTAAATCAATATCACATTTGCAAACTCCCTTAATACCTATTAAAAGTTGCCACTCTCCTTATCGCGATCTGTGGGTGCACAGAAAATGAGAGCGCACGAGTGAGTTCTCAAGACTCAAAAGCACGTGCAAATGATACGTTCCGTCATCGTATTATAAGTGCGGAACGAGTACAATTGTTATTAATAGCCGCAATCCCACGCCGAAATTCAAGTCCTGCTCTGTGTTCTCTGCTAATAACCCAACTGTGAATGATGCGAGCGGCATCACTATGTTGTCACTGAGAAGCTGCAGCCGTGGCTGGGATGATTTTTGGTGTGCCGGCCGGCAGAACAACAAACAACAACAACAATGCGCTAAATTATCTTTTCCCCTAATTTTTTCCAATTGGCGGAAATCCTTCGTAGACTCGCTGCAATTAACGGAACTTGAATCCCTGGACAATGTTTATCTCTGTTCTTAAAACCACCTCAAGTATTTTAAAACACTAAACAATTATAAACGCAGAAATTTAAAAGCAAAACCTAAAAAAAAACGCTCTGATTGGTTGAACTCTTCATCTTTTTCTGTTGCTTGTTTTGAATACTGAACGTGAACAGTCACCACCAGTTTTTTTTTGCGTAGTTTAGAGTGACAAATCGTACCAGCGTACTTTGAGGTCAAAATGCGTATCCGCTACGCAAAATGCATACATACACATCTTATATATATATACACGTCGGCTCCGCCCTTTCTGGCGGGCTAAAGCGCCATTGGTTTGTGCAGCTACACAAACATGAACAAATCACGCTTCAGTACAGAGTAAAACAGGAGTCTTCCCATACACAACGTGAAGTGAACGTTTGAAAGGGAACTGGAAGTGCAAAAAATGCTAATTTCCAAGTTTTGGCCTACAAAAATTTAATCATGCAGCACTACATGTCTAACCTAAAGTTCCAAAAACAGTTTTTGTAACATACCCAAATTGATCATTTTGTGATGTACAAATTAAATATGTTAAATCAGTTGGCGTGAGTCCATGAACCAGACAATGGACTCTCATGCTTTACTTAATATTCAGAGCATAAAATATTTATGGTGGATGGAAGGTGTGCCAAGTAAATATTGCTCAAAATGTCTGCTTGAACTCACTGGTAAAAAGAAAACATAACATACAAACTTAAGTAGAAAGGCGTTTTCCCTCAGAGCACCGATGCATCCTGCGAAGCCGAGCACGAACATCACTCCACCCACCACAAGAAACAGCCACACTGGATCAAACCCGCCCAGATCTGTGATGGAGGATATGTTGGAGAGAACCCCCTGATGGAAATACAAATGGGAACAAAACTGAGAATAAATAAATATAGCTGCAAGCAGCAATTAAGCAACCAAGCACAACAGAGGTAAAATGAAGAGCTAAGGAGCTGTCTTTAGTTACTCCAACCTTGCTTCTGAAGAGCTACCTTCCTGCAGACTTAAGTTCCAACCCTGCTTCAACACACCTGTCTATAAAAAAGTAGCCCTGAACACCTTGATTAGCTGGTTCAGGTGTGTTTGAGCTTTTAAAATATCTTTTGACCAGTAGGTGGCACTGTGCCGAAATTACTCATGTGCCCTCAGGTCTTGTTTGTTATAAGTTTGGCCAGTATCCATTAAAGCATTGTGGAGATATAACCTCATGTCCATTTTTGCAACACTTTGTCAAATTTGTTAGCTCGCTTTACAAAAACAGTTTGAAAATTGGACAAACAAAAAAAGTAGTTTTTTGAAAATCTTGGCCCATAGAAATGTACATTGCATTCGTCTTGATATGTGCCAAGGAATCAGAGGAAAAGGAATTTTGCTTTTAGACCTTACGATTCAAAAGTTATTAGCAGAAACATGAGTGCAAATTTGGCCTGTTGGTGGCACTAGAGAGTTTGAGCTAGAGATTCCAACTTTGCTGTGGTTAATGATGAGACTGACCTCTTTCTGTGTGCCAAATTTCATATCATTCCCACAATCAGTTCTATAAGATTAATCAAATTCGTAACTACGCTAAAGCATTTGTAAAATACAGCATTTTACTACAAAATTCGAAATAGTCCACGCTCAAAATGTCTGACATAGGAAAATTGGGTATCGGTTGATTAGGTATGCCGCTCTGAATCTAATTTATGATTTTTGGTCAAACATTTTAGAAATTATAAATAAAAAATTTATTATATATATATATATTATATATTTTGACCAGTAGGTTGTCAAAATGCTGAAACTACTCATGTGCCCTCAGGTCATTGAGATGAGAATTGAGATAGAGACTCCAGATTTGCTATGGTTAATATTGAGACTGTCCTCTGTGTGCCAAATTTCACAACTTTCTATGTGATTCTATGAACATTCTATTCTATGTTTCTAAGTGATTCTATGGGCTGCCATAGACTTCAAGAGCAGAAGAGGAAGAATAATATTCAGAAAACTAACAGATACAATAGACGCCTAAGCACCTTCGATGCTTGGCCCCTAATAATAATTTCAGTTTAATTAGACCAAGATCTCACTTAAATAGATTCATATATGAAGTGTTTGTAAAAAGATGGGCTTCACTCACCTTCTCACTCCAGGCCCACAGAGCCACAGACAGGAACGCCGCCCCCAGCAGCTAAAAAGTGTATATTAGCATAAGCATAATAAATTATAAATGATGTATTTTAGCATAAGCACTATAAATTACCTTAGAAATGTTGTTTGTGGTTAAGTACACACTTATAGATATATAGACTTAGATAAGATAGATTTTTATTATGGCAAAAACCACCAGACACATGGGTTGTGTGTGTCTCAAAACCAAGTTGGCTGCCTGCGTAGACAGCATGATTGCCACAGTTGACAGCATTTGTGGCCATCATAAGCATGTTAGGACCGTTCAAACCTCGTTTTTTTCACATTATATGTGCATTTGGAACGTTTTAACAGCATTTCTGTTTTCGAGCATTTTAGCAGCATTTGTTAGCAGCATAAAGAGTGTTTGGAATGTCTGAACATTATTTCTAGTAACATAAGAGCATCCGGAATGTTCTAAATGCATTTCTGGACCTCATAAGCGCTTTTGGAATGTTCATACTGCAATTCTGGGCAAGATAAGCTCCTTTTGAAATATTCGCTCGCGCACACACACACACACACACACATACACATACATACATATATACATATTTGTATCATGGCATGCCTTAAATAAGCCTCCGTACATTTAACACAAATTGGGGTTTCATAGGTGAATTTAGAACGTTCGACAGCATTTGGCCACCATAAACGGGTTTGAAACGTTCGACAATGCTGTCTAGGTAGGCAGCTTACTAGGTTTTGAGGCACGGCCAATGTGTCAAGACACCTAGAGGTTGTTTTAAAGGGGTCATATGATGCGATTTCAAGTTTTCCTTTCTCTTTGGAGTGTTACCAGCTGATTGTGCATAGATAAGATCCCTGAAGTTGCAAAGACTAAAGTCTCAAAACCAAAGAGATATTCTTTATCAAAGTTAAGACTCTGCCACGCCCCCCTAAAACGGCTCGTTCTAACACGCCCCCACATATCTACCTCACTATGTGGAAATATTTGCATAATGCGCCCAAATGTGCACGCAAAGAAAGAAGGCGTGGTTTCAGTAACCGCAGTTAGTGTTGATGCAGCATGTCAGGGAGACGCTGTGTGTTTCTAGGCGAAAGCAAAGGCACTTTATTTGGCCTTCCAGAAGTAGATGCATTTAGGAATCTTTAAGATTACTTACAACAGAACAGCAATGCATTTTATGGATGACCGTTTCGTGAACCTAGGAGAGGAGGTAATTCTGACTTTGCTATGACAATCTGGCGCTTCTGAATCAGCTACTGTTTTGTAATTAGTTAAAGTATTTGCTATTGACTGTTCAAATGCAGAGTTTTGCATATCGTGTGTGTGCGCGCATGTGTTTTATGACATTTCTACAGATTGGCAGGCAATGCCACTCTGGGCTTTGCCTATTCCGCCGAAATCAGTAATTTGTCTATTCGAAAAACACAGAAAAATGATTGATAAAGAATGATTACAGAGAATAATGGGACGAGCGCTCCTCTGCAAATAAAGATTGAGAGTCCCTTCCGGCTAAGTGAATTATGTCATAATACGATTTTTCAAAATAAAGGTTCCATAATTACAGCTACTTGGCTATATTGGCAAAAAAGGAAAAAAACATCGGCGTATGGGTTTATGGGGCCACTTTTAAAATCATCAATATCAATAATAATAATAGCTTCATGACTATTATAATCTACAGAATTATGATATATGTAAAAATAAGTACAATATGCGTATTTTAATACATGATGTGATGCATATTAAAATAATCTAGAATATATTATTACTTTGTTTACTTTTGCTTTAAAATTGTGTAAAGAGAAATTTCAAAGTCTAATTGTCAGCTGCAGCAGTATCACTTCAGAAAAAAAAAACTTGAGACTCAGAATCATGGCATATATAATATACACATATAATTTGATCATTAAATGAATCACAATTTAGCTGCAGCAGTTTGCAATACCACACCCATATCACAAAGCCAGGGCTGTAATTTCAAAGTAAGAGTCACCGAAACCTGAGACCCATTTGTAAAAATGGTAACACTTTACAATAAGGTTCATTAGTTAAACATTAGTTAATGTATTAACTAACATGAACTAACCATGAGCAATACATTTGTTACTGTATTTACTAATCTACGCTCACGTTAGTTAATAAAAATACAGATGTTCATTGTTAGTTCATGTTAGTTCACAGTGCATTAACTAATGTTAACAAGATTTTAATAATGTATTAGTAAATGTTGAAATTAACATTAACAAAGATTAATAAACGCTGTATAAGTGCAGTTCATTATTAGCTCATGTTAACTAATGTAGTTAACTAATGAACCTTAATGTAAAGTGTTACCGTAAAAATAAACAGTATCCTGTTGTGAAATGAACTTTAAGCAATATATATATATATATATATATACAGTGGGTACGGAAAGTATCCATATATATATATATATATATATCATAACTATGAACAACTGGATTCCATTAAAGTGGGCAGATGTGTCAGTAATCTTACTTTTTGTCTTTGTTTTTTTATGATAACTACATTCCTATATTGTGGATCACAAAAACCTGTGCTTAATAAAAACACTGTCATGCTTTTATTTTGATTTATTTGGTCAATTCTAGGATCTTCCTTTCCTTAAAAACCTTAAACCATCAGTACTCTGATGTGAATGGAATTTATATTGAATAATAGTATGACAGATTCACTCTGATCTAAAAAGGTGTGTTTGAAGAGCTTTGCTTTCTACAATTGGAATTTTAGATAGATCAAAGGTTTACATGAATTGAACTATTTCTCAATGAGCTCATGACCTGCAGTGAAACCTTTAGTTTGCAAAGACACTAAATGAAACAGGTTAGCATAAGGTCTAGTATTGTTGTGCACAGGAAGCTTATTTAGGGTTAGTGTCTCAGTTAATTGGAATATCAGACAGCTGAGTGTGCAGTCTAGACAGAGGTTGTATCTAATGTGTGTGTCCTTGTGTAAAGTGAAGCAGGCTGTAATAACCCCAAGGGCGGTGGAAATCCAAGGCCTTGTGGCCACCTCACAGTTCTGCATTAAGGTCATCCACAATCACCTCTATGAGTCAGCAAATCCCTGCAGATATCATATACATCTCACCCCGAAACCCCCGAACACAGTGCTTACTGTGCACACCAAAGATCATCTCCATCACAAAGCCCACTACATGCAGTCCATCTTGATGATCTAGAGACTAATCATTATGTGTAGTTCACAATGCTGATCTATTTCCCCAAACTACAAAATTATAAAACCTTATTTGCACAAACTACTATAGCAACACTTTATAAGCACTGTGCAAGATGTATTGCATAATGAATTTGTAAGAGTATTATCTTATGCTGATCTTCTATGTATCCAAAAAAGAAATAAGTAAAAATAAAAATGTAAAAAAACAATAAGTGGTGTCAACAATAAGTCAATAAGTGGTGCACATTTTTTTATATTTTGTTAGTCAATTTTTGTCAAGTATAACAGAATTCTTCTATATGCTGTTTGATCATTTTAATATTCTAATGGCAGTAAAAAAAAAAAAAGTGGAGTTTTAAAATTCCTTTTAAAAATGTGACAAAAAATTCTTAAACTAGAGTAAATTAGTCACATAAATTATTTCCTCAAGCACTTCTAATGAAAATGCTGCTTGTTTGCAAACTTTTTACTAGTTAAAATTAAATGTTAAGTTTATACTGTATGTTGCACATCATTTGCTGAGGCCCCCTAGTGAACCTTGTCCCTTTCATTTAAGAACCGCAGATGCAAATGCAGTTATTGTTATTTTAAAAATATTTTATATATACATAACACTTAATAAAAAATGTATAACATCAGTAAAAATCCAGTTATTCGATTTCACTACAAACATTTAAATAAACAAGAATCCGTATTTTATATTTTTCCCAATATTGAAGTATTGAGTCTAGGTAACAAACACATCTTTATTGTATTGATAAGGTGCACTTTATGCATGAATAGTGAATTAGACATTTGCAACCCTAGTGAAAAATATGTAAATATAATAAAATGTATTTGAAATACATTTATTTAAGTATACTACAAATTCATTTACATATTTATGTACCTAATACAAATACCCTGCAATTGTACTTTTGGTATACTAAACTGGAATACTTAAAAGTCTGCTAAACTGGAACAACTTATTATGTACTGTCTTAATACACTTTAATTGTGCAGAAGTAGTGCTGAAGACCAACTAAAGATATACGTAAGTATATTTGATTGTGCTAAAGTGGAACTATTGCAAGTATACTTTAGGTACACTTTAAATATTACATTTAAAGACCAATATTATTCAAAGATCATACAATCCTCATCAATAGTGACATTAAAACACATTTTAGGCTTAATATTAAGAAGTGTGCATTGTGCACAAGTAGTACTTCAATTAAAGTTTAAGATTTTGATATCAGTAAGTCTTGAGTGATATGTCAGTAAATATGTTAATAGATCTGAACTATACTTAGTATGAAATAAATGTATTTTAAATATTTTACTATTTTACTAGGGAATAGTGTTGGGTATTTACAAATTTTCTTTTGTAAAATAGTTTTGTTTGTGTGAGAAACTCACCATATATATATATATATATATATATATATATATATATATATATATATATTAATCGCGATTAATCGAATCCAAAATAAAGGTTTTTGTTCACATAATATGTGTGTGTACTGTGTATATTTATAATGTATATATAAATACACATGC